ATTTTACATATTGATAAGTAGTAATATCTAATAATACGTGCCGTGACCACTCAGACATATTAATATATTTGTTATATCATATTAATTCATATGTATGTTAGTCTATAAGGTATTTATAACATGGCTTTAGTATCCTGAAATAAATAATAAAATAATAGTATTAAAAAATCCACAGATTTAATAACGTGCACACCTTTTATAGCGTATTCAAAATATTTTGCCTATTATTTAGGTTGTATCCCTAAATTCCAAATGAATTTTTTATTTTATTTAAAAATATAAATTTTACTTACTTTCTATGCGAAATTACATTTGAATTTTCTAAATAGGTTGAAGTGAAGCTTGCTTGCACCAAGTCCAATTCTGTCGCTTCCGCAAGGCGGCTGTTTTCAATACACCTCCAAATTGCTCCATTAAAAGTTCTTAACTGCCTTCAACCCGATTGTTAACGGTATTCGATTTCCGAATATTGAACTACATATAGTACCTCTTATATTTATTATTGATTCTACTGTATATCTATTCTACTGTTTATCAATACCGATATTTCTTTTAATTGTTTTACATGATCTTGATATTGTTTCAATAATATTGATAATATTTTGTATTCTATTCAATCACAAAAGAAATTATTAAGTTATCTATCAGTTATTTAATAGTCATAATCAAACCTTGCCTTGTTTAGGACTAGATGGCGATATGTAATAGGCATGCCATTTGATAACTTTACTGTTTTGACTAACGGAGTAAACCTAACTAAAGTAGGTATATTAAACATATACCTGTTTACATTCATTTTATATCTATGAAGTTAGTTTATAGAAAATAAATATTTTCACTAACTAACAACATAATATTTTTTATATTTTTATAATAAAGCGTTTATAAACTAATCGATCTTTATTACAAGCTGACTTGACTACATATTTTCAGCAGCGCTCAAGAAAAGTATTTTACACTAAGTAGGTAACTAACCAACGTTGAGATCGGTAAACTTTAACTACTATTTGGCACACTTTCAAAACTACTCCCGTGACTGCCACGGGTCGTTTCAATTTTTTTTTTCTTTACATTTCGATTAAAACATGCACTCCCTCTTTCCGTTCTACTCGTATATGCTTTGCACTTGAACGAATTTTCAGAAAGGTGTGTAGCAAATACTATACATAGCGAATGTACGTGCTGGCATTGGAAATAAAAGAGGAAAAATCGTCAATATCGTACAGACGTAAATACTGGCACACGAGAAAAACTACGACCACCTTTTATGTACCTATTCATAAATAATGAGACTGAATAAAGTGGAACTTTCCTGGACATTATAACATGCTTGTTCAATGCTGAATCTATGGCTGCTAACGGAAATGAGCTCTTTGACAGCTGTACACATTGGAAAAACAATATACTTTTAGGATATATTGACTCATATATAAAAAGCTAGGCGCTAATGTTAGTATAAATCGTGTTTACCTGGTTTGCTTCTCCATAAGTAGGTGTACGTTAGGTGTTTTGAATGCGAAGCCAAATTGACTCCATTAAAAGTTTTGAAAGCGCTCGTAGCTTAGATAATTTACGGAGCGAGTTATGCCGTCTATAAAAGCATGCATGGGTACTGAAAACTAATGAATTTATGTTTGTGTTTATCTTTTCGGCTTTATTCCATGAAGTTAAAGCTAGGAACGGTTAATGATTATAACAACCGGTAACTAGGTCCGTACTACAAACCATACAGTGGAGAGAAGAGGCAGATGTATCTATAACGATCAATTTGTAAGAGAACAATTCATGTTGTCCAAACTTTATGCAGAATGCTCCTTTGAAAATAATTTGTGCATATATTGTAACAATACATAATATTAGTATTATTACAATATATGCACAAATTCCTGTAGTGCACAAGTACCTGATGATGCTAAACATTGCAATTACTTAGCCAGATATTGGAACCGCAATTAGTGACGCCATTATATTCTGTACGTAGTGTACCATACAACAAACTTTGCAATCGGAAATGGGTACGACTGGTATGTAATCTCGTAAAGGACGTACTCTCATAATTGATAAGAGAACACCGGGACACAAGCACGGACGGAGTAATTAGGGAACGGGGAAGCAATTAAGACTTTAATAGGACTGTGATGTCGCGGCTATGTACCTACTTACGTTGTTAATATTAGTTTCAATACAATACTTTACCGCTTCCTATGTACAATGTACTTATTGGAACACGTGTTCATTATAAAACAACATAGGTAACTGCTATTATTATACCTTACTTTTTTAATGATACCATGCAACCTACGCTTATCGAAGACGCTACCGGGGCCCTAGTGGCGAAGGATAGGATGTGCATATATGTATATAGCTGATTGTACTCACCTGAGTCAATTGGCACTTAGTGTGGAGGCCCGGCCGACCAGATACCAATTGGTACACTGTCCCGTTACTATTAGGTATACGTACGGATTAAGCTGGCGGGACTGGAAGTGAGTAGGTGTCTTTCATATGGTCAAATCGTGGAGAATTAAATACAATAGGCAAAAGTATACTTTGGTAACAATGGGACCCATAGTCTCCAGACCTTCCTTACCTATATACGTACGTAAGGCAGCACTAGTAGCTGACGTATCAAAATACCATAGTTCACTGAATAGAGCTAATTAATGATGTGGATTTAGTTATTAGATTAGAATAGAATAGTATAATATTTTTATGTTCGTACTGTAGAATTAGACCCTCAAAGGATTTATAGTAATGTAAGTAAAAGTACTGTGCCTACACTTGTAATATTTCTGTCAACACTTAAGAGCCTTCTATTAGTTTACGTCTCCACTAACATAGATTTAAGTTTAATGTAAAATCAGTCTACGTCGCGACTCCGCGTCGAATAAACGCGTTACTTATAAGCCATATAGCACATATATCCAATAAATTTACTAATATCTAATATACTGTCAATTTTGAGAAAACAAAATATATGCAATTTCGTACCACTAAAGCCTACATTAGATATTATAATCTAACATTAGATATTAAATTCAATGATAAACAGATAGAAGTGTCATCTATTAAATTCCTTGGCGTATGGTTGGATCAAAATTTTAATTGGGAGGTACATATTAATAAAGTATGTAACAAATTAAATCGATTCGTTTTCGCCTTACGACGTCTTAAAGAAGTTGCATCACTGGAAGTAGCGTTAAATGCGTATTACGGGTATGTCACATCAACACTACAGTACGGTCTGATGCTATGGGGAAATGGAACAAAACAGATAAAGTCCTTAAAATTCAGAAATAATACATTAGGGCTATCTGCGGACTCCACTATAGGACTCGTGCAAACCAACTATTTAAAAACATAGATTAATGACCTTAACTGGAATGTATATTAAACAAATAGTGTTATTTGTAATTTAAAATCCAGATTTCCTAAAAATAAAGAAATGAGCCAAAGAAGTCAAAGATCTACAGTAGGAACGAAGCTGTATATACATGGAACGAAATTAACTATGGTCAGAAATAATGTCTTCCCTACGGCGATAATAATTTCTAATAAAATACCAGATAATATAAAGACTCTTCCACGAGGACGATTGACATATAAATTAAATAATTGGTTATACTCGACAAATGTTTTTACTCCGTAAACGAGTTTTAAAATGAATGATAATGTAATAATAATAATATGTATTTATAATTCTCCGATGACAATATTATACTAAATAATATTTAATATTTATATATTTTACATGCCTAATGAGGCAAAACATAATGGGACATTATATTACAATAACAACCAATGTAAACCTGTTTAGTGCAAATAAATTTGATTTGAATTGATACAGTAAATATTAGGTACAATTATTTCACCGTTATACTCACTACCTACATACTACAAAAAATAATATATTATGTAGCGACACCCCATCACAACATCCATATCTAACCCTACAGTGATGAGTATAACCACCGCGCTGCAATACCTACATAGCCACTTCTTCGTAGGTTCTTCTAAACAATATATAGGTATTATATTGACCACATTGAACTTTTAAAACATTGTTATTAAATAATTATTCTACGATAAAATAAAGAAAATCAAGGTGTTTTGACCACGTTTTCTTTATTGTAGTATCCTGGGGTTTTCTTATCGGAAAGATCAAGTGATTTTTTTAATTTTACATAATAAGTCTTATAAAATCTGCTTTTTGGACTTTTATACAGTAATTAACTATACGATACCATATAGGTACTGTACGAAACGAATGTAAGTTTGTTTGTAATATTCTCAAGTGGCATAGTAATTAATTATCCAGTTCCCTTAATATAATAATAGTAATATGACTGTCACAAAGAGTAAGTTAAAACGATATTTTTTTGAAATACGTAGCCGACACAATCACTTTCACTTTCTTATAAGATTGCATAAATGAATTTATTTCATGAATATCTGAACTAAATTGAAAATTAAGTTTATAATTTGGGATTAAAATTCAAACATAGTTTTTTTTTTCACCCTATGGATTTGATAAATTCCATGTATGTAAAATATATAACATAGCAATAAAAATAATGTCCCAGTTACTATCTCACTATGTACTATTACTATTATAGGTAATCTACTATTATATATACGGAATGGGGACGAAGGAGAAATTTGGTAAGAATAATAGAGTGGAATTTGTGAAAGGAAAAGAATATAATTGGTTTGTGGAGATTTTTGACAAGGCCTTGCAGAAATAAACCATCAGATTTATTGACCCATCAAGTATAAAAAAAACGGAATTTATTACAATATTGTCCTGGGATATTAAAAAATACCATAATTTATAAGGATTGATAATACACATTTCATTATTAGGAGATTTTTATTAAATACCAGCAGTTTTAGAGGACTTTTATACGAATGGAAGAAAAGATAGCGGTTTAACAGGCAACACTAAAAGTTAAGGTTATGCTCAAAAGGACTTGTATCTAGAGCCGTAAAACATAATAAATTAAAAAGTATATAATAGACAATATCTGTGAAACGTAATAGATTAAAAAAATAGTGTATAAATGTGAATTTTCCACGTTTGTTGCTTTTGTATTAAATAATAAACAAAACGAAATGCCTACACCAGACAAAATATTGATGAGGAAAATTAAAAAAAGGGAGAAGAAAAAAGCTAAACTTACAAGTCTTAAATCAAACAATGTGGCCAACCATGTTACAGGTACATTCATAACCTCATTAAGTTTTGTAAATGGTAAAAACGGATTATATTATATACAATAATCAAAATTATACATACTCACTTAAATATGGTGTGATTAACTTAATAATTAAACTACAACATCATTTATCTATATTTAGTTTAAATAATAAATTACTAAAAGTAGATGTCTTATTTTACCTCATTTTTTAGTCGCCAGCTTGTAGTTATAAAAACATGCGAACTGGTGTCAGATGACGAATAACTTACAGTCAAATGGACATCTGACGAAACTTGTGATCATACACACACTTGTGACCGTGGCACATAAACATATTATACCCGTGGTATTTATGAGTTATTCTGGAGGGTCAAGATATAGTAATATATAACAATAACAATATCCTTAGGCAATCCACATAATGGCCATCTAGTCCCAATATAAGCAGAACCTGTGTTACGGGTAACAGACAACTGACTTAACTTAGATTTTTTTATAAATACATTCATAATACCCACAGGGAACAGCCAGGCTGATACAATCAATCATACTTATGAATACAGATGTTAATAAGGTATTAACATTGAGTGGAACACACTATGATCGGAATTGTTAGAATATTATGTAAAATAAATTGTTAAGTTTAAGAATATTAATGCCACTAGCATTAAATCTAGGGTGTGTATGTTTGTATGTATGCAGTCTTCATATCATAATTTACTAAACAGTAACAACACTTACCACACCATAGTCATACATTGTGTATGGTTAATATAGAGTAGTACTTTGTTGTATTATCCTTTTAATCATTTCTAGAAGCAGAACCGTCTGAAGAGAAAAAGCGCCCACTTGAGACAAATGAAACAAATGAAAAACCTATTCCTAAAAGTAAGTAATACATAATTAATTGAAATATTAAATAGACATGGTAATAGAATAATAAGTGTATTTTATTGCTATTTTTTTTATAGAAAAACGAAAAAAAGGAAAAGTTGAAATTAAGAAAGAAGTGGAACCAGAGAGTGATAATACAGATGTAGGTAGTGACCAGGAGGATTCTGATAATGAAATTCAAAGTAAACCTGACAATGAAGACAATCAATGTATGTATAAAAACAATATTCATTATTTAGAGTACAACAAATATGCCCCTTGTCATTGTAGTGAATACCTTGCATAGTAAAAAGTAATTTGTAGGAAATGTTAAAATAAAAATTAATAGTCCTCATTTATATATTTTTTTAATTGTATTATTAGAAATACAGTAAGCAGTACTATATTCTATTTAATAATACTTCAAAAAATTTATTGTCTGCATCAAATCTGCATTTTATAACCATTTATGTATTTAATTTTATATATACCATATATTTGTATATATAATAGATACCAACTCTCAATTTTTGATATATAAAACATACTGACACTGACCTGCGCAACTTTCTCTGCATATAATTTTCCCTGCCTGTTAAATGCAGTATGGTATTATGTAGCATACTAGATACAACACTAAAACATTTTTCAAAATAGGATCAGAAGTAGATCTGATTACCCTAAAAAACTAAAGTGATTAACTTTATTTCTTTATAATATTATTATATATACTAACAAACTGCGATGGTTTCTTTTTCAGTACCTGGTTCTAGTTTGTGTCTCGGCATACTATCAGATCAGAAATTTTCCTCTTTGGAGAGCAAAGTTTGTGAAGCCACACTTATGGGTATTAGAGATATGGGCTTCACCACTATGACAGAAATTCAAGCAAAGGCAATTCCACCATTGCTCGAAGGGCGAGATCTGGTTGGTGCAGCAAGAACAGGATCAGGGAAAACACTTGCCTTCCTCATACCTGCTATTGATTTAATTTATAAACTCAAGTTTAAGCCCAGAAATGGTAAGTTTCATTGACACCAAAAATATAATTGAGACACATGTATACTATTTATGTCTTAATATAGAACCTTTTTTATATATAATATAGCTTTTATATATAGTTTCATCATAGTTTTATTATTTACTTTACTGACTTTACATAAGAATGTAAATTTACCATTACTGCTTGTTTAAAAAGTAAAAAAAAATATTTTCCTAGAACCTTTTTAAAACACAATAAATAAAATCAGTTCCTAAATGCAACATGTAGACACATGTATTCAAATTCAAATTCAAATTCAAAGTCTTTATTAATTGACACAAAATTATACAAGCTATCGTAATATTTGATTAAAAGTTTAAAATATAAAAGAAATATTAGTTATATATACATTTTATGTTACTTCTAATTCTGCACATCAGTCTCTGAGTCAACGTGTCCTTTAGACACAAAGGCCTCCTCCAGTGTTTTCCATGTGTTCCTATCTTTTGCCAATCGGAGCCACAGTGGGCCGGCAATCTTTCTAAGGTCATCAGACCATCTCTAGTACTGTCTTCCTCTTTTTCGTTTCGTTTTATGACGGGGAATCCACTCAGTTACAGTTTTCGTCCATCTCATATTTCCCCTTAGTGTGTGACCTGTCCATTTCCACTTCAACCTTTTTATTTTAGTTGTAACTTCATCCCAACCTGTGATAACTCTTATGTCCATCGCTCTCTTTCTATCTCTCCTGTTATAACCCAACATGCTTCTCTCCATACTCCTTTGGCATGTTACAAGTTTTTGCATATTTTTCTTGGTCATTGCCCATGTTTGGCATCCGTATGTTAGTATTGGTAAGATACAGGTATTAAAAAGTTTCTTTTTTAAGTTAATGGGGTATTGTTTGCTTTTCATTATAGTTTTCAATGACCAGTATCTTTTCCATGCACTTGTAACTCTTCTTTCTATTTCCTGTTCCATTTGGTCTTTTATTGAGATGAGTTGTCCAAGGTAAATATATGATGTTACATAATCTATATGTTCTTTTTCTAATTTGATTGGTACTTCATTTTTGTTGGTCATTATTTTAGTTTTTGTCTTATTTATTGTTAACCCGACTTCTTTACTCACTTTTATAAGTTCAAGCATCATTTGTAGAGTTTCTGGGCTATCTGTCATGAGTACCAAATCATCAGCGAATCGTAAATGATTGAGTTTTTTTCCATCTATTTCAATACCTGCATTGTCCCAGACAAGACACATGTATTAAGAAGATTTAAATTTCTTACTTCTTGAATTTAAAATTAAAAGTTTTAAAGTACATTACGAACTATTTTAATACTAGCGTATCTAAGTAATATCAGTAGGATTGTAGTTGAAAAATGTGAAATGATGATAAAAAGGCGAATATGAAACACAACTCCATACATCCACAAAGGTATTTATTTGAGATCATCGATAAATAGAATCTCCAGTGAAAACTGTTGAGGTACATTTATAGTTGATGTCACATGAATACTGGAGATTGAGGAGCTTGTCTGAGTTGTTTTATGAATACAGAATGGATATCTGATCATGACACCACTGAAATATACATAATTTGTTGCATTTAATTTTCATTATAAAGCATATATTAATTGTTTGTAGGTACGGGCGTGATTATACTCTCTCCTACAAGAGAGTTGTCAATGCAGACATTTGGAGTGTTGATGGAATTAATGAAACACCACCATCATACTTATGGTTTGGTGATGGGTGGTGCTAATAGAAGTACAGAAGCTCAGAAATTATCAAAAGGTAAATTGAAATTAATGCAAATATTTGCATTATCGCAACTATTATAAATATATAATTATTATGAGTAATAGTAACAACCTAGGATAACTCACAATCCCATCTAGCTTCGAGCTAAGTAAAGCTTTTATTAATTTATAGTAATATGACATGGTATATAATTCAGTCGATTTTTATGATGGTCTACCTCTCCTTTCAAACTGTTTAAAAATTTTAGTTGACCACGACTACTAATCCCAAAAATATTACAGCTCTTATATTAGCTTCTTACCATAATACAACTAGTTATGCATTACTTCATCGATTGAAAAAAATATAGGTATAATTTATAGAAAATAAAAATTTGTTCAACAGGTATCAACATTTTAGTAGCAACTCCAGGTCGACTGCTAGACCATTTGCAGAACACACCAGATTTTCTATACAAAAACCTTCAATGCCTTGTCATTGACGAAGCTGATAGGATATTGGAAATTGGTTTTGAAGAGGAAGTTAAACAAATCATCAAGTTATTGCCAAGTAAGCCATTGAGTAATTATACTTTCCTTTAAATGTGATTTTAGAAGTGTAGTAGTAAATTATATGCTAACCTACATTTGTGCTACCTATCAACATTTGTATAGTGATAAAAATTATGAGAGGGTGAAATGTCCGATGTTAATAAATATACTAAAATTACCTAAAATGACTAATTCAGCTAGTGTTTACATGGAAATATTTATTTTAGAACGACGTCAAACAATGTTGTTCAGTGCAACACAAACTAAGAAGACAGAAGCGTTGACTGCTCTTGCTGTGAAACATGAACCAGTGTATGTTGGTGTTGATGACCACAGGGAACAAGCCACTGTTGATTCATTGGAGCAAGGGTATGTTGAATGTTTGCATTATTTTGTTATAGTAAAAAACTCTGTACTACTTCTTAGAGTAAAACCTTTACCGATATTAAAAAACTGATTACTATTTTAAAAACATAATTTCTGATAAAAGTGACTAATACTTAAACATATTATTAAAGCAACTGCTATAGGTTAGATTTAATTATAGAAATTCGAAACAGATAATGGCCCACGTGACGAAAAATGGTAACTGTCTAATATACAGGACCACAGATGTCATAAAATAACTTCTAGTTTCCATGAAAAATGTCTTTGTACTTTGTCATAAGTAAATTTATAAATATTATGTTAATTTTAGGTATATTGTGTGTCCATCAGAAAAACGAATGATGGTTCTCTTCACATTCCTAAAAAAGAACAGGAAGAAGAAAGTTATGGTCTTTCTTTCAACTTGCATGTCAGTTAAATACCATCATGAATTATTTAACTATATTGATCTACCTGTAATGTCTATACATGTAAGTATAACACAAATTAATTTATTTCAATACTTAACCACACCACAGTATTTCATTGTGTTAGCTATACTGAATTACTTAATTTGCATGTAAAGTTTAGACCTACTTTAAATTTCTTCTGGAACTATAAAATAATATGCTTAATTATAAAAATATTTTTGATGTAAATAGTTCATTATTTTTTTATCTTAATTAATTAATTAATTAATCTCTTTCTTATTTCAATAAAATAAATGACAAAGAAACTATATTCTTCTATTATAATTTAAGGGTAAACAACAACAAACAAAGCGCACGACAACATTCTTTCAATTCTGCAATGCAGAATCTGGAATACTACTATGCACTGATGTAGCCGCTCGAGGGCTTGATATTCCTGCTGTTGATTGGATTGTACAATATGACCCACCAGATGATCCGAAGGTAAAATCATGAAATTGTTATTTTGTGAATATAATAATTTAAGTTGAATAACCCTTGGGCATTATCAATTTCGCTATGATACAACTTCAATTAACTATTGTTTTCAAATGGATTTCTTATTTATATTTGTTTAATTAATGTTGATGATTTTTGTTAGTGTTATTAATAATGGATTATAACCAGGTTGTCTATCCTTGAAAATAAAACTTGTAATAATTTTTCTTATAGGAATACATCCATAGAGTTGGGAGAACAGCCAGAGGCCTCGGAACTAGCGGTCATGCTTTACTATTCTTACGTCCTGAAGAACTCGGCTTCCTGCGTTATTTGAAACAATCAAAAGTTACACTTAACGAGTTTGAATTCTCTTGGAACAAAGTGGCTGATATACAACTACAGGTTTGTTTACCTAATCATTATTTTATTTAATAAAAATCCCGCAGGTCACGTTGATATGTCCGTTATTTTTATGTTTTCCGATAAGATTTTCTTTTGTATTTTTTTATACTACTCAATGTGAAGTACATTTTTACAGTTTCTTACTTGTTCTTCTCAACTGAATTAGGTAAGGTAGGTATAGTCATAAAAAATATTGATTTGATATAAAACAAAAAGATGTTCGATAAATAAAGTATTTTGTCTTTGAATTCTGTATGCCATTTGCCGTATGGTAAAAATTAAGTTTTTCATGTTAATATGCTATGCATAATTCATAAAACTCTTCAGCTTGTTTATTACCGCCATATCATCAGGATGTTACATCGTGGCAAGAGTTTTAATCTGCACTCAAATAAATAATCTAGTAAAAACCCGTTAATTATGTCATACGATTGTTTTTTGTTATATGTATGTGAAATTACAATTATCTTACTTTAAGATAACACGTGCAACAATGTTAGCTTGAGTTTATTTTCGTCTATACAAAACATTGGTTTATCTGTTGAATGAAACTGTAGCGATAATTAATTAAGAGGCAATATACGTTTTTGTTAACATTTCGCTGATTAAATGCCAAGGGGCTTATTTAATACTAATTAATTTAATTTAAAATACTTGTACAAGGCCATAAGCCTAAGTATGCCACCTGCTATAGAAGAACACTGACAGACACTGTCAGTGTTTTTCTCTTCTAATGTAAATGGAATGGTAACAAGGTGACGGCTGACCTCCAGCGGACTAAGATGTCGCACCTCTTGTCCTGTAATTAAACTGCTTAATCTAGAAATATAATATACATACCCATAGATGTGTCTGTATTTGAATTACGGTTAGAATATTACATGACACACAAACAGAGCTTATAAAAGTAAGTGCTTGGCGGCTCAATTAGGTAAGACTGAGGCACCCACGAAGATGACTTATTGACAGTATACATATGATTAATAATTACGTGTTGAAACTCTACCTCGGTCTGAAAGAAAACAATACCTAAAAATTTTTTTTAATTGCAGTTGGAGAAATTAATATCAAGAAATTACTTCCTGAATCAGTCCGCGAAAGAAGCGTTCAAGAGTTATTTAAGGGCTTATGACTCGCACCACCTCAAGACAATATTCGACATTGACACAATTGATTTGGCAAAGGTCTCAAAATCCTTTGGTTTCACAGTACCACCAGCTGTAGAACTGAAGGTAGCTAATAAAGGTCCACCATCGAAAAGGAAAGGTGGCGGTGGTTACGGATACTTCAAATCCCTCAACGCTCCGAACAATCATAAAAAGAAAGCAGAAAAAACAAAAATTTATAGGCAAAAGGGTGGGAATCAACGTTCTATAAGTTGAATTTATGTTATTGAATAAAACATTAATTTAATAATTTGGTCTGGTATATTATTTAAAAATCCCTTTAAAATAACAAAACAAAATGTAATATAACTAAAACACATGAGGATTTAACACAAGCATGGAACATTTATTTATATACCACAACTTAGAATTTGAAAGTAATACCTTTTCTGTAAATAAGAGCTGTGTAAGATGTATTTGGCTGCATCAATTACTTAACCTATTCAAATGCCACATACTCTCTATATTCCCCGTCGCCAATTCCAACTAATATTTGTAGAATATATTATTGGTATGTTTATCATCAATAATAAAAATCTCATATTAATAGTAACATATTATGTAAGGTTGACCTCCACGCGGTTTCCCCTGGAAACCATCGTGATAAATTACAAACAGAAAAACCTATTAATATGTAAGAAATGGAGACAGGAACATTATACATATAACAGAAGAGAAAGAAAACTTGTAATTAGACCTTACAAGCAAACTGACCAATCGTGATATTAGCAGGCTAATCTTAATATATATAATTCTTCTGTAGGAATATTTGTCACCTACGGCTTAGATTTAGATGAAATTTTGTATTTATTTTAATCGATTAATAGATAAATCCTGAGGTAGAACCTCAGGCTCCCGTACCCAGCTATAGAAAGTTAATAGGCTATTATATTATATGATGATTAGATTATGTGTAATGTGCACTAATTACTAGAACAACAATAATTTAATGGCGTGTAATTGATTATTTTCACTTTACTAATGGATCTACAACACGACCTACGACCTCGTGAAAGGTAAATAAAATAACTGATAAGTGAACACACAAAACTCTCACATCGCATTTTGTAAAATTAATATCACACACGATTTATCACGAAGAATTGCCAAGGGAGTAAAATATTGAGGTACTTAATGTGTGAGATCACAAATATTTAGTACAGAAACTTGACCAACTGAATGGAAACGGTATGACCTTATCTATTGGTGATCAACTTGTAACCGTAATTGAATCTACACTCATGCGACACCTGTCTCGCCTTTGAACGAACATCTGGTATCAATATAAATCCATAAAGAAATGAACTTCTTTATGGATTTAAATAACACTTATTTCAATAAAATATATCATACATGGAGGTCCTAAAATATAAGAAATCCTTAAGGACTTAGGAATGTTAGTGAATACGATCTTCATTCTAGGGGACCCTTAAGCTGACATTAAGCAGCTCCTCAACATAGGTGGACATTAGTGAAAACGAGCAATATCATCAAAATACAAATATTTTGCTTTTATAATATACGATTTAAGATATGACTAACAACTTCAGATAACTTTGACGTTTGACTTTTGAATTAAAATTTGTAATAAAAACTACCAAAGATTTACTTATCAGTATTATAATATTGTCAATAAACAGCATACAATGTTAATTATCAATGCATGCTTATATATTAATATCTGTCACTATTATATAATACTTGATTTATTTTTGGCTGATAACGATGTAATGATTTATGAGTAAACAGTAAGCTGTCGCTTGTCGGTTCAATTCTCTCAAAAGGTTTAGTATTGCTTCATTTTATTATACTGTATATAAATTAAGGAAATTGTTGAATATATCCATAATAACAAAACAATATACACATGTAGCACCTCGACGGTCATTCCACAAAGGGTTGTCAGAGGCATTGTCAACTATCGATGTTGAGGTGAGGGCAACACTTACCATGACCACATTTCTTTTACTTTAGTATATTTTGAATCCAAAGTTGGAACGCGCGAGCCTACTGTCGTTTTGAAGTTTAGTTTTGGTTTGATATCGGTGTTACTTTCACCGGAGAGTCGGTCAGACACAAATTGACACAAAGTTTTTTTTTTGTCTCGACCATATTTGAACTCACGACCTCTTGGTCGTAATTCAGGTGAGTAAAGCACTAGGTAATACGCCGCTCTGTAACACAAATGGGGAACTGTAAAACGATACGATTAAAAGTAGATACATTTGCATGTGAAATTGAACAATCAAATCCGTATATTTAATAGATATTAACTAAACTGGAAATTCAATGTTTACAGAACAATAGAAAATGTTTACAGTAAAGTTTTCCTCGTTTAAGCATTAGCTATTAGTTCATGTCTTCGTGTATGTATTATCACTTGGCTTGATTGTTTAGTAATAGTACTTACTAGAAGTACATTATTATTAACTGTGTCGTATATTTAATATGTTTGTTAATTTGAAAAAAATACTAAATTATTTATTTCAAAATTAGGTACATGGACTGTATAGTTATACTATACAAATATACTCTGTATCCCTTTTATGCATATATACGTATTGCTGGCAGCTTTTCCACCATTCTTTTTATAAATTTTGTATTAATTTGAAATTTGTTCGCTTTTGATTTCTCTGTGAACCCTTTTGGGAAATGTATGCCTATTGTTCTGTTTTTACTTAAACACAACATTACGTATATTGCAAAACGTAAACTATGAGCACTACTCGTATGACTAGTAAATTTTCCTTGTCATATGTATACTGAAATTCATAAAAGGATACAAAAATCAACGTCGGGTTTCTCTCGAAACCCAAAAGCTTTCGCCGTCATCTTCAAATTCAATGTTTTGATGTTGAAAATCATCTTTAATGGATGACATTTGTAACATCTAAGATAAGAGAGGAATGCTTGCCTTGCTAGTTTTTTCATGACGCCATTCTTAAGTATTTCGTCTTCTAACTGTAAAGTTATATTAAATTAATAAATGATAATTAGAAGCCATTCACATATTATGCATTTAAGCCATATGTCACTGGGCGGGGGAGGGAGGAAATGACGAATTATGCAATATGCGAAAAGGAGAGAGGAGTTCATGACGTCACATTTCACGAGTATTAATATGCCATTTTTTTTATTACAAATGACTAACACAGACATTCTAGCTAGCACAGATTTTTTGGTACCTGCATACGATCTGAAGTACATAGTTAGAAAATTATTTTAAAAACTGTGTCATAATAATATTACGCAATACAATTGCGACAGCACCAACTGTTTTCAAGCTAAGCAGATCTTGTTATGGTTCCTAAATAACTCTTAGAAATATTGTTTTTTTTTACATAAACTTATTATACATAGAAAACACCCAGAACAATGCAAATAATCATACTCAGGAATACAAATTTTTGCACTGTGAGAGTAATCGCACTCGCAACTATCAGAAGTAAAGCAGTGTGCTAAACCACTAGACCACAGAGGCCGAGTTCATTAGATTGTATTTATTTTGATTTAGCAGTACAATGTCGTAATACTCTCGTAATACTAACTTGTATCTATGTATATGTACTTATTTATTAATTAATAATAATTAGGCTCACCTTTTCTTGTACTTCTAATTGGGGATCACAATAACTATACTTATCTAAATAAATCTTTTCTTTACGTAAGAAATTTACAAAATCCTCTTCTTCTGGTCTGAGAACTATAACTGCATTGCCTTTTGTATTTAATCCTCTAGCAGTACGACCAACTCTATGAATATATTCCTAGAAAGTAAATAATTATTACTAACTAAAGTACTTACAATATTATACTTGTTACTGCATTTTCAGAGAGAATTCGTATCTTACAAAAGATTTTAATTGTAGTTTGACTAAGTACAATTTTTTTTATGTAATTTGAAACAAACTGACGCCCTATCTATGGGTAGGTGGTAACATACACTATGGGTATTCCATTATCATGTGACACTATTATAATGTGCCTTAACTCATTTCACACCGGTAGCGGCTTACAAAACTAGCTGCTTAGCGGCTAAAATAGGGGAAACTGAGGTACTTACGCTGACTACTTTTTACAAAATCTAATCGAGTTTTATATTCTAAGATATATGCCATATTTAGCAAAAAACAATAATAAATATAAACGATAGTAATCATATTTACTTTCGGATCAGTCGGTGGATCATACTGAACAATCCAATCCACACATGGAATATCTAATCCTCTTGCTGCAACATCTGTACAAAATAATGCTATTTGTTTGGCCTCAACAAAATTCTTAAATGCTTTTTTCCTTTCCGACTGTGTTTGTTTACCCTAAAAAAATATTATATACAAGGTTATGTCTTAATAGCTTTATTAACCTAGTATATTTTTGGGACCGCGTGGAGGTCCTGATAGAATACATAGCTATTGCAACAATCCCTTTCTCCGTAATGAAGATAACTAAATAGAAAATCAGAAACAAGAGTCAACTCACACATACTCTTGATACAGATATCTTGTAGGGTAGGTAGATAATAATATAATATATATTTATGATAATATAGAAAATAGTTTCAATTAGTTTAGTACAAAAAATAGATACAGTCTCATCAATAGATGTTATAAACGTACCAAAAGGTTAAGAGATTAGTAGATAACTTAATTAAAAGTAAATAAACCAATGACAAAGGAGAAAATTAACAATATTTTAAAAACAAAATGAAGTCTTACATGTATTTTTAAAACAGATGCTCCACAATGTGCTTTAAAAAATTCATAGTGGAAATCCACAGACTTACATGAGGAGAAGAAAACCATAACTTTGAGCTTTTTAGTTTTCTTTAACATTTTATATAGCCATGGAATCCTGTATTCTAATGGGCATATGCAATATCTGAAATATAACGTTCTATTTAATGTTTTTCAATAAAATTAATATAGCTAATCAACAAACATATATTTAATAAATAAATAATATTGGACAATTAACACAGCGCCATCTACTCCCACGGTAAGGAGAACTTGTGTTAGTGGTACTAAACAACTGATATAAATACTTAGATTTTTTTGTAACTACATAATATGAATATAATTGTTTTTATTGGTCTAGGTGTTTTCTATGTGTACTAATACATAGAAAACACCCAGACCAATAAAAACATTTATATTCATGAATACTAATATTTGTACCGTGCGAAGAATCGAACCCACGACCATCGGAAGTAAAGCAGTCTGCTAAACCGCGAAACTAATGAGGCCGTCACATTCAATATAGCGTAAGCAATACATGTTGATAATTAAACTTTTCATTCAAGCATATTTGATATATTTGTTTGAACGAATCGATGGACTGACGTATAACCGGTAAATAAATTATCAATACAGCTTTTCATGATTTAAACACCCATACAGTCCACCGTGTAGCTGCAAACCATGGTAAAACAATAATCCAATATGTATATAAAAAAATAACATATAAAAAGAAGTGTTCTAAAATTATAAATTTAAAGAAAATTAATAATCTTTAGATATTATATTAATTTCGCGGCAGTTGATTGTTAACACTAATTATATCTATGTATGTATATATATATAAATATATACAATAAACACTTTAGAAGTAAAATTATCAATATCAAACAAAACTTAAAAGTAAATATTTACACCTAATCCATATTACAAATAATATATATATATATATATAGAGCAACAGTAATATGTATTATGAATAATTACCCCTGTTGCAACCCTGTAACAGTAGATTGTTTATCTTGTATAGATATCAGCACAGGGTCACTTCTGAGTGCCAGTCGCGCAAGATTCTCTACCTTATTATCAATTGTTGCACTAAATAACATTGTTTGTCTGGTTTCTGCAAAAAAAAAACAGATTCACCTGTTACATATTGAAAACATCAATTTATTAATCCATATTACAGACACCATTAAATGACATGTATACTATGTTTAGAGATAGCTTATTTTATAAATAATTATGATATTATATACTACTACTATATATATATATAAGTTAATAAAATATTATAACACTGGTGACTTAACATATTATTTTATTCATAAAGTAATGGCTAAATCAACAAATGTGTCTAAACTGATACACTTCACACACTATAGTAATCAGGATTATATTAAATTTATCATCCCAATTTAATTGGATTATCTTCCATTTCTAAACATTCTTCACTTCTAAAAAAAAGCCCACTTGTTATTTAACTCTCCCGATGCCGGTCCCAAGCCCGGATGAAAAAAGTTGGCTGAGAACGACGAAATATACCTATTTAACATCATGTCAGTCATAAATAAAAATTCGTCAACGAAGTCGCCGAGTCACGGGCGGCGGTAAATTATCCCATAAAAATGGTGATCGAGAACCAAGAGGAACTAAATAACCTCTAAAAGTTCGAGGGCAGATGCTTGGGAAACGTCTGCTACTATGCTCCCACCTCTCTCTTATGAATACATGGAAAATAATGAATGTGATATGTCATGCGAACCGGCTAACCCCCGGCGCTCTCTGGTACCCGGGCCAGGGAGTGTGAAATTAGCTACCGAAGACTACATAGAGGTGAGTAACCAGGCATGGATGACTGTCAGTGAATGCTACTGGAAAAGGATTTGTTCAACAGGCTTTCCACCCAAGCTTGTTTGTGAATAGTCAAAAAAGTCAATCTCTCGGAAATAAACCGCAAATTGAAACTTCTATCACAGCTCCCTCAACAAAAGAAAAGAAAAGCCTAACACCGACTAATGAACTGACTAAAAACACACCTTGTCCTCCTGAATGGCAAAGAGTTCCAATAGCTGGTGCTAACAAACGAAAAAAGTTATCACAATCGCCATCGCCTGAGACAATCAAAACCACCAACAGGTACAGCACGCTGCAGATTGACCTGACAGACGACGAACATGAACCCAAACAGAAACATCCAAACAAACCTACACCTATTATTTTATATGGCATAGAGGACATAAACAAATTAATTGAATTAATTAACACTGTTGCAGATAAAAATGATTATATAATTAAAATTATAAATAAAAATCAATTAAGAATAAATTCCTTAGATATTTAAGCTTACAAGAAAATTATAAGCCTAGTTCGTGAAAAGGGCCTATAGGCCCATATTTAACAGAAAGGATCAACGCTGTTGCCGATTAGTAATAAAGAAGCTCCATCATACAACTCCGCATAGAGCTATAATCGAGGAAGTCGAAAAAACCGGAAATAAATTCCAAGGGGAAATTATCAACATTAAGTATGGTCCCGAAATAAAGCCGACATCAACTTTCTTCGTTAACCTCACGCCTGGCCCAAATAACGGTGCAGCTAAATCAATAAAATCGATTAATAATCAAATTATTGTAATTGAAGAGCCTAAGAAAAGAAACACAATACCTCAATGCCAAAGATGTCAGCAGTATGGACATTCAAAAAACTATTATATGCGGCCATTCAGGTGTGTAAAGTGTGCACAAGATCACAAAACATCGGATTGTCCAAAAAAGGACCGAAACACCGCCGCCACCTGTGCATTGTGTGAAGGTGCGCACCCCGCTAACTACAAAGGATGCGAGGTCTATAAAGAAATTCTGTCTAGGAAATCAAGTAGACCAAAACCATACATCGTAAATACACAGAATAAACGAAATAATGAAGAAAAATCAAATAAATCGACTGAACGTCAACTACAATATCAAAACAATGAGAGATCAAGAGACACTAATAAATATGTCACAGAAACAAAATCCTATGCAGATATCTTAAAAATGCATAATGCACCCGCAACACATAACAATAATTTAGAAATATTACTCACACAACAAGCTTTAAAGCTAGATAAACTATTAGAACAAATGTCAACAATGATGAATCTTCTCACAACAGTTATCAACAAACTTGTTCATTGAAATGGCTACTCTGAAATTAGTAACCTGGAACACAAACGGGCTGGTCACGCACAAGTATGATGTGGAAACTCTATTGGAATACGAGAATGTTGATATACTCCTTGTATCTGAAGCATACTTAATACAATACAACCAAGGGTTAAAAAATTATAGCATATATTCGACATCCCACCCCGATGGAACAGCTCATGCGGGCACAGCCATAATTATTAAGAAGCACATCAAGCACGATATCCTTCAGGAGTATAAAACGGAACCAATACAAGCAACTACAATAATGCTACAGGATAAAAGAGGATCTATGGCTGTACCAGCTGTATACTGTCCACCAAAACATAAATTAAAAGAAGAAGCAGTCACTAACTACTTCAAAACTCTTGGAGATAGGTTTTTATGTGGAGGCGATTGGAACGCCAAAAACGTTCACTGGGGATCACGACTGACCGTACCTAGGGGCCGCGAAATGAAAAAAAGTATAGATAAAAATAACCTACATATACTAAGCACAGGTGAACCATGTGGGTTCACCTGTGCTTAGTATATGTAGGTCACTGGCCAACAGACCCACAAAAAATACCCGATCTTCTGGACTTCTTTGTGTATAAAGGATTGTCAAACAACTATTTAAAGGTGGAGAGTTGTCTTGACAGTAGCTCAGATCACACGCCTGTAATTGCCACAATAAGTACCACAATTATTGAAAGACCAGTTAAGGAGCGCCTCTACACTAAAAGAACTGATTGGAAGGCATTCAGAGACTACCTAAACGAAAACCTCGACATGAAAGTACCACTTAAAACGGAAGATGACATAGAGGGTTACGCAATGACATTAACAAACTTAATACAAATAGCAGCATGGAAAAGCACACCAGCTACCACATTGAAACATGGTAGTAAGAATATACCCAGGGATATAAAATATAAAATCCTGGAAAAAAGACGACTTAGAAGGGTGTGGCATTGTAGTCGACATAGCCAAGCCAAAAAAGCGTTTAATACAGCAGCTGCAGACCTAAAAAAATACCTTAAAAAGATTGAGGAAGAGACCCTACAAAATAAATTGGCTAACCTTGGGGATTCACAAGCTAAAAACGTACTCTGGAAAATGGTTAAAAGTAGCAAAATGGCTCCACAGGTTTCGAAACACCCCATCAAAACTAGGGATAATACTTGGGCTAGAACTGACAAACAACGTGCTGAAGCATTCGGACAGTTCCTAAATGAGGTCTTTACTCCAAATAGCAGTGATGAAGAAGCCGAAAAAGAGATACTTGACTATCTTAGGGCTGACTCCCAATTATCTCTTCCAATTAAAAGCTGCTCTCCACGAGAAGTCCAAAAAGAAATAAATAACTTGGAATTAAATAAAGCCCCTGGCTTCTGCCTGATTACAGCTGAAGTTCTCCAACAGCTTCCTAAAAAAGGTATAGTAGGTATAACACAACTCTTCAATAGTATAATTAGGATTGGACATGTGCCAAAGCTATGGAAAGTTTCAGAGATAGTCATGATTCCCAAGCCTGGCAAACCTCCTCACCTTGTGTCTTCGTACAGACCAATAAGCCTACTTTCCAACCTTATCGAAATTATTTGAGAAGATAATTTTACGAAGGCTAACACAGGTATTAAATGAAAAAGAAATTATCCCTCAACATCAGTTTGGATTCAGAGTTGGCCATTCAACAATTGAACAAGTCAATAGAGTTGTCAACAAAATAAGAGAAGCTCTAGAGAAGAAGTAATACTGCTCTGCTATTTACAAGCATTTGACAAGGTTTGGCACCCGGGACTGCTATTCAAACTGAAGAAACACCTTCCACACAACTTTTACATACTTTTAAAATCTTATTTAAAGGACAGATTGTTTAGAGTCAAAATCAATGACACCTACTCTACCTTTCAAGATATAAAAGCCCGAGTACCGCAGGGTTCCACCTTGGGTCCCATTCTGTATCTTATGTACACTGTCAGACATACCAACATGGGATAATATATTATCTGCTACGTTTGCCGATAACACTGCCGCACTTTGCAACAATGAAAATCCGAACATTACTGAATAAGGTACATGAATGGATGGAAAAGTGACGCATTAAAGTGAGCTCCAGCAAATCAGTACATGTCACCTTTACCCTGAGAAAAGACAACTGGCCACCGATTAAACTTGGAGATGACATTTTACCCCATCAAGACTCGGCAAAATATTTGGGCATACATCTTGATAGGAAGCAAACGTGGAAAACACACATCCAAAAAAAACGCGTTGAATTGAATGCACAGCTCAGAAACCTGAACTGGCTGACAGGCAGAGGATCATATGTAACCATGGAAAATAAGATACTCATTTATAAAACCATAATAAAGCCAATCTGGACATACAGAATCGAGTTATGGGGATCAGCAAAGAATTCCAACATAGAGTTTTTGCAACGGTTTCAGAATAAAGCACTCAAAACCATAACTGCTGCACCTCTATTCATTAGAACAACAGAATTGCATGAGTACACAGGAATGAGAACAATCAGAGAAGAAATAGACCACAGAACAAGAGTATTCAGAGATTGTATAGGCCCCTATAGCATACCAATATCCTTGCAACAGCACTACGAGACCCATTGCAATGCAGAAGGCTTAAGAGACTCCATGCATGGGATCTTATTCACCGATGAGACAGTTTCCTCACTGGAGGTATAATTCTCTCCCGTCAACAGTCCCACAACCAATCTGTTAAAGGCTTGGTAAGCCGATTGGAGGATAAAAATAAAAAATAAAATAATTGTTATTTTATTATTTCTGTTACTCAGAAGTAATTAAAGTAAAATGTTTCAAATATTTTTACTTATAATATACATATACCCACAGCATACTTACTCGGCAACAAATTTATAATTCCACTGATATGTCGCTCAAAACCTGCTTCCAACAATTTATCAGCTTCATCAAGTACTAAACATTTTAAGTTATCACAGTTTAGATTCTCATTGTTTTGCAAATGATCCCACAGACGACCTGGTGTACTAACAATAATGTTGGCACCTGAAATAAAGTAATAAAATATAGTACTTGTATAGTAATTACATTTTATATACTATAATATAAATTCTTAAAGAATTAAAAAAAAAAGATATGGAGGCAGCAGTGACAAATTAAGCTTAAGAATTCTATTACAAAACTGTATTCAATAATTAAATTAATTAAATTTAATTTAATTTATTGAAACATAATTAATTTCCCAATATAAATAAGAATAACAAATTACCATGTTCAGACAAATGTCATAAAGAAATCCAGAGATAGAAATACTGTTCTGTTTTGCTAATTTACCAGGCACTAGAACATGATAGAGATATTCAGTGGATTACGTATACAGTTGTAAATATAATTTACTTCGTTCCGATTGCAGTTACTTAGCAACAATACTTATTTTAAATGTGATGGATTATACTTTTTCTACTTCAATCAATGTGCCTAATAGAACAATCATTCATCATGATTCATATATAGAATGATATTTTTGAAATGATAAAATAAAATATTAGAATATATCACAATAAGTATGTAACCTTTCTACTTCAGGTAAGTAGATCAACAAACAATTTAAAAATTTAATCGTCTTAAACTTTATTGAACTAACACAATATTCCTGTATGAAACAGTATAATTATACTTATTGGTAGGATTAAAAGTCATTTTACAAGAAATAACTAAAAATTCTGTAACAAAATTTTCATTAATTACCTTTCTTTAATGTTTTTATGTCTTTTGTTTTTTTTTCTCCTCCAACTATTAAACAATGTGATATAGGAATATCTTTTAGCAGGTTTTTGAGGACTTCATTTGTCTGTAATGCTAATTCTCTTGTTGGTGATATTATTATGCAGCCAGGACCTATAAATAAGAATTTATTTGTATTTGACATCTTTTATCTACCCATTTTAAAATGGTGGATCAAATTCAGAGAGTCAATGTCCAGTGGTTTACTATCCTGAATTAAAGCCACATCATCATGACTTCAAATCAGGCTGATACGAAAAAAACTTTTCTTGTCAATTTATATTTCTTTCTTTTAGTTAGAATTATAAATCAACAGAAAAAGTATTTTCACCTGGACATTAATATCCAATCAAAACTAAATTCAAGAGACAGAAGATTCTGGCATGTTGAATTAATTAAATACCAAATGCTAAATGTAGGTAAATGTCAAGTGTCATATTCAATAATAGAAATGCCTCTATCACATCTGGTGATAACAGACAGTATGTCTGTCCATTTGTTTAGTAATAATTGAATGAATTAAGTAATAATACATTGTATTTGCCTAAAGAAATGTAATAAAGATTTGTCCACTTAGTGATATGTTCCGTGCATAAATTATAAGTAAATTAAGGTTTCAAGTAAATAATATATCCACATATCTTGCCAGAATTATATATTACATTATATTATTATGCGAAACTCTTATCTGATACCAAAATAAACTAAAACTAAGACTGTTACTAATCGTGTACTACTACTGTAAAGGTTATATAATAAACCTAAATAATAACAAAAATAATAATTAATACGTATTTGGAAATCGAGTATAAAATATGTATATTAGACCCTATAACCTGTACTTACCGCGTTTTCTATTAAACCCTAATTTTATTAGTCGATCGATAGCAGGAATAAGAAAAGCTAATGTTTTTCCACTGCCGGTCTTCGCTGCTCCTATTAAATCATTGCCAAGTAGTAGATAGGGTAAAGATTCAGCCTGAATTCTAGTGGGTTTATTAAACCCCAATTTTAATACAGCCATTAATAGTTGTGAATGAATCTTGCCTTCTAACATAGAGAAATTGCATTGCGATATTATTTCTTCGGAATCCATTTCTTTAATAAGTACTTAACTAAATAAATTAAATTAAATTTGGATACCATACAAAATGTAACCTATCTTGTGGTTTATTTTAGTTTTTATTTCCATTTCAGTAGTCTGTGTAAAAGACAATGACAAATTGATGACAGAAGTCACATGACAGCAATAACAAATGCGTTTAGTTCCACGTTATATTCAATCTCAATTGACTGACGTGGTGGAATTTTTTTAAGACAACTGAAAAAAGTGTAAATGGTAACGATGGAACAGTAATCTACACTATAATAAAGCTCCCTAGGTTTATTTGTACATTAAATACTTTTCTATAAATATTTTAATGGGATGTTAGTTTATAAAAATATTAAACTATTTCTGATATTATTATTGTTTGTTTCTGTGTAAACCAGTTAACGGATTTTGATGGGGTATCCACTAATTTACTACTAGAGGATTACGATGAATCTCAGATACATGATACGTATCATTACGGTTTCCTGTGAAGTAAGATATTATTTAAATTTTTTAAGATTCTAATAGTGTGTATATTTAAAATATGTTTGCACTTGTATTGCTTCATACCAGCTAACTACACGTTAGTTTTAATCTCAGTTTTTGTAATGAACCGCAATAACTGAGATATTGTTTTTGAAAGTTTAAAATTCGTCTTCCTAAATATCATAGTAACATTTTCTTTGTTACTAAATTGTATTATACAGTATTTATAAGCTACAAAATTCAACATAAGTATTTTTAAATTAACGCAGCGATTACGAAGTCTACATTGCGAACATGGAGGTAGAGTAAAATACGATTTTAAGTATATATTTTGATACAAATAAAGTTGTTTAAAACTACGCAACGCATTTTGAAGCGTTCTTTTTTAATAGATAGAGTGATTCAAGAGGAAGGTTTAATACATGTACACCCGGGCGAAGCCGGGCCAATTAGCTAGACTATGTACATAAATAAAATTGGAGTGTGTTGTAATATTGAAATAACCATTGTTTGCTACTTTAAAATAACATAAATTAAATAAAAATGAATAAAATTTTATAATGGAATTGAGATATAATTCCCAAGCTGCCTTTTTTGTTGGTGCTTTTACATGTATTTGTGTTATCGACTTTACGATTAAATAAGTACTGTTCCATGTAACAGTTACAGTATGTCACTACTATACATATATGAGTACAAAATTAAAACTATTATTTAATAAAAAAAAACAATTTTATTAATTACGCAATGTTTTGTTCACATAATTTTTAACCTCGTATTTGAAATAAAACAGCCTTCAGTTCAGGAATGTTTCAACAAAAAGTTATAGTGTTAGATATCAGTCTTTAAAACATTGATGGATATTAAACAGTATCAGAAATAAAGTGATAAGAAAATAACAGCCAAATCTTTTTGAATAATTTCTCTATTTTTATACATAAGTTATTTCCTACTTATACTACATCATTATCATCAGAAAAATACTAGGTATAAAATTTCAGAATTCATTCATGTATTGTGAAATTACTACCGTAGTGAAAAACTGCCTAAATAAATGACTGATTCTTAATAACTTAATATTATTATTAATACCTCACAGTGAGATGTGAAAATGTGAACACTTTATAGTTCATCATGTGCAGACTGCTGTTGTGCTGTGTTTGACTCATCACAAGCAGCTGGTGTGCTAAGATCTATTTTATATTCACACCGGTATGGTTCAGTGACTGACAACAATTTAGTGTCTAATCCACATTGCACATTAACAACAGTCAATCTGTTGGGTCCATTCCAGCAGGCAATTCCATTGGTATACTTCATCACAGAATATTTGTTGTTATTGTCACCAGCCCATTCACCCCAATTTCCAAGCCCAATCTCAGACCCACTGTTCTTTGATTTTTGTGTTACCTTTTGGAACATACATAGTTTATAAACATACTCCTTATCTTCATATTCAAAGCACTGACCATCCAGTGTTGCAAACTCTTGCTGCAAGCCATAATCCTTTTCTAAATTCTGTTGAATGTTTCTTATATTTGAATCTATTTCTCTAACAGTTCTTTCAGCATCACTGAATTGTCTTCGGGCTTCTGTGGCTTCTTCAATTAATTTTTGAGTTTCTTCATCATATTTATTGGGTGTATCTGCCTCAATTTCATGTTCTTCAGTATCATCAACCCGCAGGTCTGAATCTGCAGTGTCATCTTCTGATCCTGGATCTTCATTATCCACATCTTGGTTAGTTTCCTCATCGGGATCAGGATCAGATTCTTCTTCATCTTGCATGGGAGTAAACATACCTTGTTCCATCATTAATAATGGCTTCAATAACGGCCAAGTTGTAGTAACAAATGAATCCTTATCAACACTTTCACTGTCTCCAAAGAAATATTTTATTTCCTCCTCATCAACCTGCCCATCTTTGTTCTTATCAAAAACATTTGCTGTTGAAATCTCATCTGAAGTTAATAACCCATCATTATTAGAATCAAATCTTTCAAATTGCTCTAATGACTCTTTTCTTGATATCTCCTTTTCTTCTTCAGCTTTCTTTTGTCTCTCAATTTCCTCTACCTCTCTATATACTTTAAGAGCATCATTCTCTTTACTTTCAATTTCATTTTTAAGTGACTCTTTTTCTGCCTTAATTTTCTCAGCATCCGCCTTATCTTTTTCTAACTGTGTTAATTGTTCAGCCATTTCACTTCTCTTTTTATTTCCTTTCTCTATGAGTTCTTGCCTTAAATGACTACCAGCTTTATGCAATTCTGTTAATCTCTGTGCTTCAGCTCTTGCCTCTTTTCCAAGTTCTTCACATGTATTCACACAGATGTTTGGTGCAGCATACTCATCGGTACCATCGCAGCAATCACAAACTCCGTCGTTAACCCGTGAACTTGGAATATTTTGGGCCCGATGACCTGCATTTGTACAATGAAATACTCCATTCAAACATGCCGCTGTACCCGGCTCATCACTTCCATCGAAACAGTCACAGTAATCGTCATTCACATAACTAAAGGGTATTGTAACAGTCCCATCGAAACACGTAAAGTCTTTAGTCGGCGAATACAACGATGCTTTAGATAAAGACACACCACGGGGTCTTGGAACGTCGGATTGTACGTATACTACAAAGGAACTTACAATGAGTAGGACTGAATGCAATAGATTACTCGAATTGAAATACATATTCATGATTTTAGTTGTTAAATTAAAGACCGGTCACTAATAATTACTAGAAAAAGCAACGTAGTGAATATGAAGTGTATGTAGACTAAAATGACGGAGGAAATATGACAATTTGAAAGGAAATTGTGGTAAAATGACGTGTAATGTCATTAATGACAACTTGTTATCATTCTGATCTGTGGAGAAAATATCTATATTACGACATTAAATGGTCATCATGGAACCTAATATATTATTATTAATCAAATTTATTTTACAAGTTTTAAAATAAATTTAATTAAATGAGTTCACGGGTACAGTTCTTTATCAGTTAATACAGGCCTAAAACAGTTTCAACTAGTAACTGGAATAATTTTATTTTAGTTTAATTGGTCTTGTGCATTAATGTGATAATTTAAGGCTGATATAATTATTCGTTAGCATCCACTACGTTTTACTTTTATTCGAAGAAGTAATTGAATTTTTTATGGAGACAATTTGAAAAATAGGCTCCTGGCAGTCATTGTCAGTCCACAGTCATTATAATCAGAAATGTCTATCTTTGCTGGCGGAGTACTTTGTTTACTCTGTGGTATATGCTGTGTTTTCTTTTCTCTGAATTAAAGTGATTGAGTTTACTTATTTATATTTAACTTAACAGAAAACCATCTTTTATTTGAATTTATCGTTTTGCCGGATCCCAGATAGTTTTAGACATAAATATCGTTTTCTATTAATTTGCAAAACATGGAAACTATCCTAGAACAGCAAAGAAGCTATCATGAAGAGAGGGAACGTACAATGGATGCTATGGTTAAGGAGATTTTGCATAAAAAGACAGGAGTAAGTGGAAAAGTTATTAACATGTATAATATATAAACTTTACACTCTTGTGGTTACAACTGTACATCTACAATAAATAAATTATAATATATTTTCAAACCTAAATGTGAATTATAATAATAATGATGTATGGTATTGTAATTGTCATTTTGTTTTAGCATCGCGAAACAATAAACGGGGACCATCGTCTGAAAAATCTACACGATGTAAGTATTATTAATCTGATTGTTTTTATTTATGCAGAATAAAATAATTACAGCGTATTGGTTAAGTTTAAAAATAACATAGTATGTATTTGTTTTAAAAGAATTGAATATTGTAATGTTTTATTTCTAACATCATGACTTTTAAATTATGTTATTCTTACAGAGATATGTGGAATCTACAATAAGACTTAAAGATTTGTATGAGGATAAAGACAGTCTTCGAAAAGAGGAAATTGCAGCATTGTCAGGACCCAACGAGTTTCAAGAATTTTATTCTAGACTAAAACAAATCAAAGAATTTCATAGGAAACATCCCAATGAGGTGAGGACTTTGTATTATTTAGAATTTGAATCCTATTTATTGACACATAGTATTTAAAATTTTGTCTTTACACTTTTTATAGTTGTACTATACTTTCAAAGAAAAAAGCCAATATTTATTTCATTCAGTTATTTTATACATAATATATTTTATAACTATGTGTGGGAATTAAAAAACTTTATTTATTATTAAAAACAATAATGACTTCAATTAAAATTGTATGACTGAGACAAAAGACAATTGATTTATTAATTTATTAATGCTTTATTCGCACATAGGGCCATATATAGTACAATAAATTACTTATATGCTAAATTTATGACAGGCATACAAATTATATTACAACTGAGTTTACTAAGTTGTAAAAATATATTACAACTTACTTTACTTTTTGTATTATGTAAAAGAAAACATTATAGAAAACATATTACATTTACATACATATTTGTTGGGTGAGGTATATTAGTTAACATCCAGCTTACAAAAAGGCATTTAATAAGGCTGCAGCAGAATTAACATACTGTTTAAACAATTGACAATGAGTTGATTTAACATTATTTACAAAATATAAACCAACACCATGAGTCAATATGTAATACTCACTGTGGAAAACAGTCAAATCCATATACACCATACATAGCACAATGTTAATTAAAAACAAATATTGTTAATAAGTGAAGTAAATAGATTATGAAGGAGCAAAGATGTGGTGAGATTCTAAAAGAAGTATTTACAACAAATAATGACATGAATAATGATAAAATAATTTAAGAAGTTAAATAGATTCTTAGAACATGATTACCAACTACGTTCACCACTGTAGTACACACCAAGTATGCTAAATCAAATTGTAGGTAACACCATTACAGTTGACTCAAAATATCACCACATTTAAATCTTACAATAGCTGATACACTATCATTGTTTACTTGTAATACTGTGCACATTAGTTTATCCAGATATATGGAAGCTATTTGAATTAATAATTGTTCCTAGGCTATATCTGAACTCATATTATAAACAAATATACTACTATTATACTAGTCTATAGTACCTAATGGATGACAGATTGATGAAGTAATATTTGCACTCCAAAATTAAACCATATTACTTTTACCTTAAGGAAAAATGATTGTTAGGTTTAGATAGATTGAACTACCCCATGACACAGTAGTGAAGTAAATGGTTTTTACCTTAATTGAAATCATACTTGGAAATACCACATTTAAAAGAAAACAGATGACCTCAACCACACACTAAGATGCTCTTGTACTAGTTACTTGGCAATTTAATCTAAATGAAGAAGACTTTTTTACATTTTAAGACTTCCTAATGAAGTCAAAAATGAGAACATAATAAGTTCATTCAATTCCCTTTGGTATAAAATATCAATGCAATATGAACTTAAGTTTAAAAAATAATACATATTGTGTTTTATACATCATCAACATCAGTATCTATTATGTATGTTTCAGATATGTGTGCCAATGTCTGTAGAATTTGAAGAGTTGGCAAAGCTAAGAGAAAATCCTGCAGAGGATTATACAAGTGAGTATTTGAATGATTATAATAAAATAATTTTCGTAATTGTAAATTTTTAGAATATTTACATAAAATTAAATTAGATATTTCAAAAACTTGAATTGCAATCTTTATTCTTGAAATATACCTAAGATTGCTTGTCATGTGAAGACTATTCATATAAACAACAACTAAATGACCTCAAAAGATCACACTATCTAGTATCTATGTAGTAGTATCTATCCAAGCATCACTTACTGTGGGTGATAAATAACCAATGGAGCAAATGCATTATTTTTTTAATTGGTATAACCATCTTACCTATTGTTGCCATGAAGTGCGGCAAAGTATTTTGTGTTGCTAATGTTATGTCCATTTATAAGTTATTACCACATTCAATAATACAAAACTATGATACATAATATTAACTTTGTCTAAAGTAATTAAAATTGATGTATTACATTACAGCACCTGTTGAGTTTACTGATGAAGAGGGTTATGGAAAATATCTGGACTTACATGAATGCTATGAAAAATATATCAATCTAAAAGGTATTGAGGTAAGATAAGTATTGATATTTCTTTCCATTTTTGCATATGTTTTCAGTATTTATCATTATATTTGATGAATTCATGTAATATTCATTGAGATAGAGATATAGATATACCATTGAGATCTTATCTAAATATGAAACTTTTAGTAGATAGCCTATAGATTTACCCATTTAAAGAGACTACTTCAAGTAGTGAGGACTCTTGGGATCACCAATTTATTAGTAAACACTAGGGTTCATGATTTCTCGAGCTTTTCAATTTCTCGGGTCTCGAGAATTCTCGAGGTCAATTTCTCGGGTCTTCTCGGGTTGTCGAGAAATTTACATTTACGTACGTTTTCTCATATTATTTGGTTCCAATAACGTCAAAAAATTCAGTGGTTTTCTTCTCAAATAAAAGTATCAAATTAAACTTTTATTGAGTATATTTAAAAACATTAAGATAATGAATTTTTTTTTTAAATAGAAAAATAATATTAGATCCTTACATATGAAATTGGCGTTTTGTCGTACTGGTCACTTTGATCTCAAATATCTCCTCTTTGGTTAGGAATTCCATTTCCAAATTTATACAGCTATTCACTTTGGGTCACTCACAGCATACAAAATGAATGAATGAAAAAAACTTAAAATATCGCGTTATTTACGAGTACGAGTTCCGCTGTGGCACCAGTGCTACACGGTGCTAAACGGCTCGAAGTATTAATGATGTGTACGGCAGTGGTCTCGCAAAAGAAAACACGTGCATTTTTGGTTCCAACGTTTTCGTTCTGGAAATTTCGACCTGCAAAGCAATCTCCGTGGGCGGCCGGAATCCAAGGTTGATAATGAAGAATTGAAGGCTATTGTGGAAGCGGATCCATCGCAAACTCGTCCGATTTAGCTGCAGGCTGCGGTGTTAGTGACAAAACTATTTTAATCTTTTAGCAAATTGGGAAGGTGAAAAAGCTTGAAAAGTGGGTCCCTCATGAATTCAATGGAGTAAATCGACAAACGCGCGTAGCCTGCTGCGTTACATTAATCAACCGGCATAATAATGAAGGGATTTTAAATCAAATCATTTCCTGTGGTGGAAAGTGGATCTTGTACGATAATCGGAAACGCTCATTGCAATGGCTAAACCCTGGCGAACCAACCAAATCCTGCCCCAAGCGAAAATTGGCTCAAAAAATGTTACTTGTGAACGTTTGGTGGACTATTTCCGGTGTTGTTCACTTCGGCTTTCTTAAATCTGGCCAGACGATTACGGCAAATGTGTATTGTCAGCAATTGAGAAACCAGGATGGAAAAGCTACCTGCTAAACAACCGAGGCTGGTCAATCGCCAAGAACGCTTGACCACATACTGCACAACAGACAGTTACCAAATTAGAAGAGCTTCAATTGGAATGTCTAAGACAACCACCGTACTTCCCGGACCTTGCTCCAACAGATTACCATTTTTTTTCGAAATTTGGATAACTTCTTGCAAGGGAAAAAATTACACTCCGATGGGGCAGTCCAAAGTGCAAAAACAAAAGGCAAAAGTGCATAAATAGAAATGGTACATACTTTGATTAAATAAATATATTTTATATATTATTTATTTTGATATATTTTGAAAAAAAAAATGCTTCAGGTTATTCCCTTACAAAACGCCAATTTCAATTTTTTAGGACCTAATTATTCAGACTTATATTTATAATGATAGCACCATTTTTGGCTGCTTATTTAGAAATAAAAAAAAACAATGTAAACATAAATAGTTTCTACAACATAAAAATTTAACATGAAAGAAAACAAAAACGATAATATCTTAAATTATTGCGCCGCCACGCAACAAAACAAAGGGCAATTAATTTCTATATAGGTACATGATTTCTCGAGTTCTCGACTTTTCTCGAGCTTGATTTCCCGGGAACAAAACCCATGATTTTCCCGGGAATTCTCGAACCGAGAATTCCCGGGAATGAACCCTAGTAAACACTCTCCTTATATCTTTTGTTTTAAAATTATTGATATATATGACGCTTCACAATGAGATAACAAAAGAATTTGTTTGCTTAGAAATTTTATTTTAGCTTTATTGTATTAATATAATATCTCTAAGAAAAAATTATGTAAATAATTTTGTTGTCTGTTTTACAGAAAGTGGACTACATAACATACCTCAGTATTTTTGACCATTTATTTGACATTCCAAGGGAGCGCAAGAATAGTGAGTACAGAAATTATATCCGGGCTTTGTTGACTTACTTGAAGGACTTTGTCAGTCGAGTTAAGCCACTGCTCGATCAAGCTCAAGAGATGGCTGCTGCTCATCAGGAATTTGTCAAACAGTGGGAGACTGGGAGCTTTCCTGGATGGCCAGTAAGTGTTTAATTTAATGATGTTGTAACATGATATATATAATTCTATGTTATCACATAATGGTATGAGCAGGTATGCTAGGTATAAAAGTATCATTTGTCCAATACATATAACTTAAGTAGTTGCTGTTCTAAATATATATATATGATAATTAAGTCATCATCCTAGTCCCACAAGTCGTAATTCCTGTTACTAAGAATTTAGATTTTTGTTGTTATCTCCAATAAGGTGTTAATAAGAAATACCTAAATTCCTGGGGATAGGAAATAATGTATTCACTATTTACAAAAGCAATAGAAAAATTCAAAACTTCTAATTCTAGTTTCTAACTGTTTATTAGTCGATTAGTTACTAATTTGTAGAATTGGAAATAAAAAGACTAAAAATATTTTCAGAAAGAAACCGGCGGTGCCTTGACTAATGTCGGCGCTCACTTAGATCTGTCGGCGTTTTCGTCTTGGGAAGAATTGGCTTCACTTGGCCTGGATAGGTTAAAGTCCGCCCTTATGGCTCTGGGTCTTAAGTGCGGCGGGACTTTGGAGGAGAGGGCACAGAGGTATATTATATATACCTATATATGTAATGAATTCTAGTAAAATAAAAATAGAGTTAGGGTAAATTGTTCTATGTTTACATCTTTTACTCTGAGGTAATCTTAAGTAATCTCTTAATCTTATTGCCTTTAAATCAACTACAAAAGGGAAGAAATTTAATTGCACTTATGGTTTTTGTAGTTTTTATATGGGTCTGATTGTCATAATTCCTTTTTTAGCTATACCATACTTATTTTATCACAGTTAATTAGGATTTTGTGTGGAGCAAATAATATTTTATTTTATTTCAGAGAATATTAAGGTGCTTAATTTTTATTTATAATTTATATTGTTTTTCTAGATTATTTAGTACAAAAGGTCAAACAGCTTTGGACAAGTCTTTGGTCGCTAAGAAAGGTGGAAATAAAGCTAAGGCATCAACTCAACAGAGACACAAAGATATTTCTGCTATAGAAGCACAAGTTTACAGGTATATCATATATTAATTGGAATATTGGTGTATGCATTTTTTGTATAATGTATGTCTTGATTAGGGAGTAGTATTTGTTTACAATTAATAATTGAAAATGAACTTATTTTAACAGATTCGCAAATGTAGTGAGCAGCACACGTGCAGCCACTATCGAAAATGTAACCCGTAGGGCGGCTCGCGCGGCTGGAGAGCGTCGCGATGACAGCGGTGATGAGAGTGACGCGTCTGCTACTGTTGATGTTGATTCTGATGATGATGAAGTGCCATATAATCCAAAGAATTTACCATTGGGATGGGATGGGAAGGTAAACATTATGCTCACTAGTTTCCCTCGTAATTATATCTATAGATCAGTTTTGAACATGGAATTGCCAATAACACCAACCACCAACATGCATGTGTATAGTTAAGTATAGCTACAGCTTTATAAGCACAACATTGTAAGTGCTCAGCTATGTGATAAGTGTTGGTAAAATATAAATATATTTGGAGTTATATCATCGAGTTAATTGTTATTTTGCAAAAGCATGTTTCATTATTTAATGTATTTGTCTTATTTTGTGTAATTTCGTTAACATCAGCATAAGTGTGACAACAAATATTCAGTGCGGTTGCCAGATCACCTGGACAAGGAGCGTTACGTTAATTAATGATCAAATTCCGACATTTATTGAATCTATTGCCTGTTTTTTAATCCCGTAGACAAATTTGACATTACCGATGTTACCAGGTCTTTGCATTTTTTAAATAGGGTTGTGGCACTATCGTAAATTGATATTAATTACCCACTTTTATAGGTTATTCTGAAATAATGAGTGGATGTTTTTTTAAAACCCAAAATTAATAAAGTATAGGTATATTATACAATATGGGTGGGTGTATAATCTTTTTTAAATTATATATGTGCATATTGCGACACGTGTTTTGCCTCTGAACGACGCTTCATTAGGCAATGAATAGAGCTCCGATATAATTTGGAAGCCTTGTGTTGTCAGTAAAGTAATTGTGACAAAGTATTACAGTGTTTGTGTCCAAAGTAAGATTCTCTATAAAAATGATATTATATGTTTATGTTTATTATTGCAGCCTATACCTTACTGGTTGTATAAGCTTCATGGCCTAAACATTAGCTACACATGCGAGATTTGTGGCAACTATACATATAAGGGGCCGAAGGCATTTCAGCGCCATTTTGCGGAGTGGCGACATGCACACGGCATGCGTTGTCTCGGTATACCTAATACCGCTCATTTTGCTAATGTCACACAAATTGAAGATGCACTTGCATGTAAGTATAACAAATATAGTAAATATAACAAACTAATAACTTAATAAGTATTGTTTATAATTTGTGTATTCCAGTGATGAAAAATGGTTTCCAGGCACACATTTTGATTTAACATTTTTATGATTCTAGAAACTATTTTTTGCACTCTTTTAACTTTAAAAGCAAGGTAAAGTTAACTGAGTTTTACCACAACTTTACTACATTTTTATTATAATAATGTTTTTGTATTCTTAGCTTGATTTGTTATATATTGAATTATAACAAAATTTATAAGAGTTTTAAGTTTAAATATGACAACACTTGAAGAAAATGGCTGTATCATTAAATTTGATTGATTTCCTATAAAATAAACTTTATATAAACGAAATAATTACACAATCTGGCATCCAAAATTTTGTAACTTCTGCATGTTTTTAATTACAGTATGGGAAAAAATTAAACATCAGAAAGAAAACGAGAGGTTTGTTGCAGAAAATGATGAGGAATTTGAAGATTCTCTGGGCAATGTTGTAAATCGTAAGACTTATGAAGATTTAAAACGTCAAGGGCTTTTGTGAATAAACTCCAATAATAGTACAAAAATACAATATAAATAAAAAATTTACATCTTTACGAATTATTTTTTATTTCTGTATCCTAAGTATATACTGCCTCACACGAACCTATTTGCATGTGGCTAAAATCTTATTCAAGTATGCTTAGCATATATGATATATATTTTTACCAAGTTTCTGACACGACACTACGCGTCTGCGACACGTTTCCTATCTTACATGCTTGTTGCATACAATGCAAGATACAAAGGCGTCGCCGACCAAAATTGCTTCTGATCAATTTTTTTTTCATGTAAAATATGTACAATATGTTTATATAATTCCAGATTGTATTGTATGTAACACTAGCCTTTATCATTCGTCTCGCACCGAGCGTACACAGGAAAAGCCTGGCTCGAAACTAGAATAGAAAATCTTTTATTCAAATATCGTCATTTATTTCCTTTATTCTACCGCTCTTTGGGAAAGCTCTCATCACAAGAAGAACGATGAAGAAACTTGCGTTTAAATAATTTAGTTTTTAAGTTGAAATGTGTATGTAAATACAAGCTTCCAACTAGCACTAATTCATTAGTCAAAATATGAAATACACCACCAATTGGTTAAGTAACAAATAAGAGTAAATTAGTCGTAATCAGACCAGTCGTTCGCAACTGTGATGGATTGGATAATTCGATGATGTTGTGATATATGATATATGATAATAGGTTCTGGGACAGCAGGTACATAGGACGAATGGATTTATATATAGAAATAAAATATTTTAGGAAATTCCGAAAGAAAAATATAATGTCACTTTTTTGCAATAATAATTTTATAATACATTACTTTTTAAATATAAAAATTAAACTAAAAAGAGGTTTCATAACATACACCCCACCTTGCGTGTGCGCAATGCTAAAGAACAACAATAAAATAAAAATAAATCAGGTTTAGACGTCGAGGCAGTTTCACAGGACGACCAGAACGTGTTGTCTTTGTTAAAAGATTGTCGGGCTCAAGAGCGGGATCTGCGACTTTATCATTTGACCCTGATGACTGTGGAAACTGAATACTCTCTAACCTCGATAACTCTAAAGGAAATAAACGTTGCAGTGCACGAACACGTTCACCCTTTGCTGTTTTAACACGTGCTACCCTACCGACATTATCAACACCTAAACATATCTCTAAAATGAGACCTAAAGGCCAGTTAACGCGCTTCAAATCATCTGAACCTATAAGCACGATATCCCCAGGTTGAAGATTGTTCTCGTTTTTAGTATTCTTTTGTACTAGTAAAGATAAATATTCTGACCGAAATCTTTGTTGTAGATCTGTATTAATTTTTTCGATATAACTATAACGAGTAGTAAGGTTAGGTGATTTAACTTGGTTTAAATCAAACGTAGAAGTATTGCCTACCTTAAGAAACATAGCTGGAGTGAGAGCTTTAAAATTTTCAGTACTATCTACTATATAAGTCAGAGGACGTGAATTAATGACAGCTTCTGTTTCGCAAAGTACAGTAAACAATTCTTTTTCTAACAGAGCAGCTTTGCCTAAAACTCTCCTCAAAATTTCTTTTATAGTACGAACCATACGCTCCCACCATCCACCCCACCATGGCGCTTGAGGTGGAATAAAGTGCCATGATATTTTTTGGATTGATATTTTGGAAGAAACGTCATCCCAATTAACGGTCGATAAGATATTGTTCGTCCCTCGAAAATTAGTGCCATTGTCACTATATATGATTCTGGGCCTACCTCTTCTAGCAATGAAGCGCCTTAAGGATAAAAGGAACTCTTCTGTACTAAGTGAAGAACATAATTCCAGATGTAAGGCTCGGTAAGTAGCACAAGTAAATACTACTATCCAGCACTTATCACCTGATTTAAGATATAGCGGTCCTGCTAGATCAACTCCTGTTATTTCAAAGGGTACTCCACATGTTACGCGGTCAGCAGGTAACGGGGCTAAAGGTACAGTACAAGCTTTAACGTTATGCCGTTTACATATAATGCATTCACGTACGACAGTTTTTGCTAATTTTCTAATACCAACTATCCAATATTCTTCCCTTAATATATTAATTAGAGTTTGAGTTCCAGCATGAAGACCAAGAACATGGCTCTGATGAACAAGTCGCTTCACTATTGAATTTGTTCCAGGCAATAACATCGGAGTTACGAAGTTTTCTGTATCACCACTTAGTGTTAATCTTGTTTTTACACGAATAATATTCTTACTGTCTTTAAATATATCCAACTTAAGTCTTGTTTTCACTTCATCGATATCTCCATATGTCTCTCTTTGTATTAAACATAATAACCGATTTTCTGCTTTTTCATACTCTTCTGCAGTAATATCCTTCTTATTCTGTCTATTACAATCGTATTTATTAAATCTTAAACACCATGCTACAGTTCTAACAATTTTTGAGTATTTTCCAAAATAAAGAAATCTGTCAGTAAATCTATAAACTTCCTGGATAGTTAAACATGTTTTCTTTATTTCTTTATTAACTTCACTTTCATCAGGAGGTACTTCACAATAAGGCCAAAGTTCTTGGGATTTCTTAAGCCAATCTGGACCTTCCCACCAACGACTTTTAAAAAGATTTTCAGCATTACAACCCCTTGATGGAAGATCAGCTGGATTGAGTTCACCAGGCACATGATGCCAATCATCTACGTGACTCCTATCTGTAATCTCTTTAACTCTATTGTGCACAAAAACATTAAGACCAATTCCCCGTCTAATCCATGCTAACACAATGCTGGAATCAGTCCAATAGTACTCTTTACAGTTTAATTGCAATGCATATTTTGCTTCTGTACATAATCGAGTAGCTAATAAGGCTGCAATAAGTTCCAGTCTTGGCATAGTGATGGGCTTTACTGGTGTAACCCTCGCTTTAGCAAGCACAAGTTGCACTGTTACTACACCAGCATATTCTGACCTCAAGAAGACACAACCAGAATAAGCATATTGACTTGCGTCACTGAAGGTATGAATGGTATTGTTACAATCAGACAGGTTACACTTGCTCAATCTTCGTGGAATGCGACATTTCTCAATTGATGATACTTGTTGGAGCCATTCTTTTGCAGACTTTTCTAATTCGAGAGTAAGTTCCTTATCCCAGTCCATTGTCCTTTCCCAACACTTTTGTATTAACAATTTTGGTATCAGTGTAGTAGGACAAAGAAACCCAATTGGATCAAAAATGCTCTGAGCCATCGATAATAGTACTCGTTTAGTAAGTTTTTTATCAATTTGTTTTAAAAATGGAACTTTACAATACAATTCGTCTGTTTGTGAATTCCAAGTTACTCCTAACACAGAAGTGTCTGTTTGATTTATATCTAGAGTAGGACCAGTCACCCAGCAACGTAACTCAAACTTACCTTCATTCATAATATTTAAAGCTTCGTTGATAAATTTCTCCATTTCGACTTCATTATTCACACTAACAATGCAGTTATCAACATAAAAACTATTCTTCAATAGACTGGCCGTTTCACATTCGTATTTCTCAAGATGGTACAGTATTGTAGCTGACAGGAGGTAAGGGCTTGTCGTAATACCAAATACTACGCGACGATGCCTAAAAACTTTTAGTTTTCTATCTGCGCTACTGGGATTATTCCACCACAAAAATTTAAGAAATTTACGGTCATCTGGATGAATAGATATTTGTAGGAAAGCCTTCTTTATATCGGCAGTAATACCTATAGCGCCCTTCCTAAATTGAATAAGTAATTTGGGTATTAATTCTATAAGATTACTTCCTTTTTCGAGACAAGCATTAAGACAAACACCTTCTTTAGTAATTGCAGACGCATCGAATACCGGACGAATTCTCGTGGTAAGGCTAGAGTCTTTAACAATGACCTGATGAGGTAAATAATGGCCAATTTGCGGATTATCATCTACAACTTCTTCAATTATATTACTATCTAACCATTCTCCAAACACTTCATCATAAGCTGTCAATAAGCCTAGTTTATTGAGTTTATTGGTAGTTGAATGAAGACGTTTTAAAGCTAAATTATAATTAGGAGATAATAAATCAGCTGTATCATTCCATGGTAATTTAATTTCGTACCTATCCTCATCATTTCTGACTATAGTTTCTCGAAAGAAATTCTCGACTTCTTCCTCGCGTTTCCTAATACTTTTTACTTGCGCCTCATCTTTAATACCTATGGATTCTAGTTTCCACAAGTCATCAATATCAAATGAACAAGCGTGTACTGAAGTAAAAATAGAATACATACCGGAAGTAGGTCCCTGAATTACCCAACCAAATTTCGTCTCGATTGCCACTAAATTATCACTCACATGTTCTGATCGCCCAGTGTACAGCGAACCTAAAACATCAGAACCAATTAGTAAAGAAATCTCAGTCACTTCATCAACACAATCAGTAATATTTATACCTTTTGCTTGTAGTTGTGACAAAAGTATACCTGGTTTCACCTTTGGCAAATTATCGCATATTGTCTTTTGCTCGAGTGCCTCTATTTGTAGTTTATATTTGTTATCAAGACTTTTACAGTTTAGCGTAAATAATCTGTGGTTCTCTAATTTAGTCACTACCCCTCCGAATAAATTGTGCCTTAGGTGTTCATTGCCTGTAGGTACAATCTTTAGTTTGTCAATTACATCAGATCTAATAAAAGAGCGTTGAGCACCTGAATCTAGTAGAGCTCTTACTGTAACAACTTGATCTTCGTGAAATAAATGTAACTTGACGGTTTGCAATAGAACAGTACTCTGTTTTGTCGACTGTTTGAGCATTGACTTTTCATCTTCACTCTTTTTTGTTGACTTTTGTAATTCTACGCACATAATTGGGTAATGTCTCTTCTCACAGATGACGCATTTAGGATATTTCCTACATTTCTTCGCATGATGTCCAGTTATAAGACATATCAGACAGGAATTCTTCTTTTTTAGAAAATCTTTTCGCTCCTCTAAATTCCATTTGATCGGTGTCTTGCATTCCGAACTATTATGCGTTGATTTTGCACACCACACACATTCTCTTATTTCATTATTAGTATGTGCAATAGTTTTTTCTTTATTCCTTATAGATGTAGTTAAAAAACTGGCAGAAGGAATTACTGGATCCACGTTTGCAAAGCCTCCTCGTGATAAATTAATTTTTTCTTCAGATTCTACTTCATTACGAACAAAATGTAACAATTGTGTCAACTGACTTTTACCTTTATCATCAGTAGTGACGTTTATTTGATACCTATTCCATGCTCGCAATATGTCTTCTGGCAGCGCTGACTCCACCATTGGAAATAAAAAGGCGGCATATTTGTCTTGCGTGACACCAAGAGACTCTAAAGCTAGAATTTGTGTCATTAACTTATCATATAGAGTACGAGTGGACATCTTACAGTTATCTTTCCTTTGAACAATAGTTAATTTTAATAACTCTCTAACATAATGTTCAATTATAAGTTCGTCTTTTGCATACCTTTGTTTGAGCTGCTGTATCACCTTAGGGTAGTTTTCGGCCGACGGAGGAAAACTTTCCACTAGATCTCTGGCACTACAACCTGTCTCAATACTTTGCAAGAGATATTGAAATTTATCTTCGTCGTCTATGTCACTATCAGCGTCAATTCTCTTAAACTGAGTCCAGAAGGGTATCCAGCTTTTTATCTCTCCGTTAAATCCTGCCAACTGGAGTTTGGGAAGGCGAAAGTGGCGACGATGTCTTTGAGAAGTCTCTCCACTATCACTATCCGCTTTTACTACAGTGTCAGATGCCGAAGAGCGGGATACGTTATGACTACAATATTCACTGACCTTGTGCTTCAATAAATAGAATTGACTATTGTAAGCTTCTGAAGATTCTAGATCCTTATCAAAAAAATTCTCGTCTCGCTGTTCCATATTCAACCATAGATCCATCAATCTATTTTGTAGTAACGTTAGCTCGTCGAAAATCTTAGTAATATTTATTATCTCCGAAGACATACCAACTTTATCTTTTTTGTCTAGATATTCTTCTATTTTTTTAGCGCACATAGTAAAACGACGACGTACCACTTTCCTTTGTAGTTGTACCTGGTCCATTTCGCTCACGGTCGCCATAATGTGATGGATTGGATAATTCGATGATGTTGTGATATATGATATATGATAATAGGTTCTGGGACAGCAGGTACATAGGACGAATGGATTTATATATAGAAATAAAATATTTTAGGAAATTCCGAAAGAAAAATATAATGTCACTTTTTTGCAATAATAATTTTATAATACATTACTTTTTAAATATAAAAATTAAACTAAAAAGAGGTTTCATAACAGCAACCATAACGGATGAGCTAACCTTCATAGCGCTCGACTTTATTTTACGGAGCCCAATGACCCGGCCTACTACGCCGCCACATGCCTGGACATAGTGTGCATAACTAGGTACTCAAGATATTGGTTGATTGTTTCATCATAGTTACATAAATTTACCATGTGATAGTTATAGTATTTATTCTACATAAGAATACATGCGGTATTCAATAATAAAACCGTTTTCATATTTCTCAATTAATTAAATAATAAAAGAAGATATTGTTGTGATTGTGATCATTTATGAATCCTTCTTCCAAAAAATTTTCTGGTACAAAAATTGTTTATAATATATATAATAGTAGTAAGTTTATAAATAGTAATATTTGAATTGCCTCTCTTTTAGATTTCAATTATGAACAGAGTGTGGGTAGTTTATTATAAAATCTTACGTAGTGACTCACCAACACCCTTTAAAAAATAACAAAATTTCCAGGCCAATAAAGCAAAAAAAAAAAGTTAATAAAATTTAGTTTCCTTTATGTATTACATTTATTTGATTTATTTATTTGATTGATAGCTACCATTCATTGCATTATTTCTGTATCATTCTATATCATCTGTCATTCTGTGAAATCTGTCAGATGTCACGTTTTGTTTACTTGTTGTTTGTTACATGTGATAATTTCTCTCCAAATTAATGTTTAATTGTTATTATTGTTACTATTCGTGAAGTGTAATCTGAATGCTTACTTAAGGAACTTAAACGTTAATATAACACAAGCTCTAAGATGCCGGAACAATCGAGTAGTCGTATATTCACCGGGACCAGAGTTTTAGGTTATGTTAGCACTCATGTGCCATTTGTTGCAAGATATATTAAAAGACGAGGTGAAACCCTGCTTTGTACCAGTGTGGGCAAATGGTTCCATACATACGGATGCAACAATTTTCGTCTGTTAACTGTTAGCGGAGTACACCCTGGTCATATAACATGTATGAGTGGAGACAATTTCCATGTTTACTCTGCCAGTGAGAATAATATTTACGCCTGGAAACGTGGCTGTGAATTGAATCATGTTTATAAGGGACACAATGCACCCGTACATATATTATTACCATTCGCCAATCATTTGATTTCTGTTGACAAAGACAATATTCTTAAAGTATTTGATATAAAGAATGAATCGGAATTTTTAGAATTAAATTTCGACAAAAAACAATTCAAAATAACCACATTGTGTCATCCACCGACATACTTAAACAAGATATTGCTTGGCAGTCAACAAGGACAGCTTCAATTATGGAATGTCCGTACATCTAAATTGGTGTACACATTTAGTAATTGGAATTCTCCAGTAAAAGTTTTAGAACCTGCTCCGGCTGTTGATGTTGTTGCTGTAGCACTGGCAAATGGCAAAATATATCTTCATAATTTGCGTTATGATCAGACAGTTGTTGATTTTTCTCATGAGTGGGGAAAGGTTAGCTGTTTGTCATTTCGGTTAGATGGAGCTCCAATGATGGTGACAGGAAGCACTGCTGGACATATTGTGATGTGGGACTTAGAGGAGAAGAGAGTATTGTCACAAGTTAAGAGTGCTCACTCCTCAGAAATAGCTGGTCTTCAGTGTTTAATGTCTGAACCATTGATGGTTACTAATTCTGAAGATAATTCATTGAAGTTGTGGATATTTGATATGCCAGATGGTGGTGCAAGATTATTGAGATTTAGGTAATGTATACTATTTACGTTTTATGAATTATTAATCAATGGTGCTCTATTGTTTTCATTGTTTTTACTTGTTTACTAATCAAAATTGAAATCAGGATTGAAAACAAGAAATTGTGAATATGAACACAATTAATTAGTCTATTGGTTAAAGATTAAAATGTAATAAAAAATCTTCACATTGGTGACTTTTAGTCAGCTAGCATATTTTTTATTGGAAAGTTCATTAGATTGTAGAAGAATTATCAATATAATTTAACTAGCATTATTTTAATAAGACTCTAATCTGACAACGGTTGGTTAGCTTCTTGGTACCTTAACAATGAAACGAATTACTATAAAATATGTGTAGTTGATTTACTACTTGGTATGGAGAAGTCTGTAGAATTAATTTTTTTAAGTATAAGGATTTATGTTTTTGAATTTTCAGAGGAGGACTTTCTTTACCTCCAACATTGGTGCAGCACTGTGAACCTACAGGAGAATATCTTCTTGCTGCTGGATCTGACAAAAGTCTTCAAATTATGAATACTGTTACTGAAGTATTAAATAAAAGCATGGGTAAAGCATCATATGATAGAAAAAAAGCAAAAAAGAAAAGTAAGTATTTAAAAACTAAAATTAAATATTGTCATTTGAACCTTAGAGATGAAGAAATAATATACTCAACACACATTATAAATACATAATATATTTAAAATATAATTTTTTTTATACAGACTGTTATTTTTATAATTTTCAGACTCTTTTATGTATTTGAAATTTTAGGTATTATAAAACTAAATGTAACCTGTTGAGCTTTCATTGACTTATCCAATTCTCTTAGTTTAGTGCCTCAATAGACAGTTGGACATAATATAACAAAATGTTAGAGACATCCCTCTTTTTGCATATGAAACATGTCTTCATTTTCTCTATATATATGTGTCACAGTCACATGAAAAAATAACGGCCACATTTACAGTATTAGAATGGATGGGATCGTTAGTGATGAAGACTGGTGGCCCAATAGCTAGTGATGTACCACTTCAGGTTGACCTCCAAGTAGTCCCTCTGGAAACTATTAAAGTTAATTTCAGAATTGGCTACAATGGGCTAACATGACTCATTTTATCAACCTCTGTTAGTGCCCTCCAACATAAACCATTAGTGCAGGTGAGGGCACCAGAGTATTATAAACCAGGGATGAACAACATGCGGTCTGGGTGCTGCTTGTGGCCCGTTAATGTTTATGTGGTACACCAAGCATTACTATAATTGAATTTATTGTACCTACTTTCTCCCATCAATACATTGTTATAAAATTACTATTTAGAAAGTAGATATAATTACATTCTAATAAAATGTACTATTTTTTACATACTAAACAGAAATATTTTTTGTGATGAGTTAGTAACTTGTCAGCTTGTTCAAACATGCAATAGGAACTTTTCCTTTAAAATTTGTATAGGAAATCTTTACTTTTTATTAATTTTATATTTTTTCTATTGTAATCTTTATTTCAAATAAAGTTTAGTACATTAGTAATAACTGCTATGTTATGTGCGGCTAACCTAAAAATTTTTAAAATTAATTTGGTTTATTGATTAAAAAGCTCTCTGCCCACCGCTGTTATAAGCCATTAACAACAGTTATATTATAATATTAAAGTGCTCATGATTTTATCTAATTATATTTTTTTATATTTTAGAAAGGTGGCAGGTGGACCAATATGCTTTACCACCTATAGAAAAATTAAGTTCATGCATGCAAAGAGATAAACAGTGGGATAGCATTGCATCACTACATGCGGGTATAGCTCTGGCTACTACATGGTCTTATCACAGGACTTGTATGGGTGACCACAAACTTAAGCCTAAAGGACTTGAGAAAGGCACAAAAGCTACCTGCTTAATTGTCACACACTGTGGAAATTTTGTTATTATTGGTAAGATTTATTGCATAATTAGAATTATTATTGCGCATTTTTTTATTAAATAGACTTTCTCAAAGATTTTGTGCGGCTCTTCCTAACAAGATCAAACTGCTTTGCGGGGTATCATAAAACTTCTGGGGTATGAAAATACCTTATATATGGTTCTTGTCTTAATAAACTCTGAAAGTATAATAGATAATACAAATTTTTACTCATAATATATTAGTAATATAATCTAAACCTTTTTCAATTACAAATTAATATCTTTTTTTTATGTGACTAGAATAGCATGTAAGCCGATGTATATCATCACAAAAACATGAATGTTGAAAGGAAACGGCGTTTCATCAAAATCCGATCACTAGTTTTGCGTATAAGATAAACAAACATCCATACTTACAAACTTTCGCGTTTATAATATTATTAAGATTACTCTTTGTTTTTAGGATATAGTAATGGTTCTGTACATAAATTTAATATGCAATCTGGAATACACAGAGGCGATTATGGTGCCAACAACATTCCAGCACATAAGGGTGCTGTCCGAGGTGTAGAGACAGATCTTTGTAATCAAAGAGTTATCACAGCAGGCGCTGACGATACACTTAAATTTTGGTACTTCAAGGCAGGTATGTAGTTGAAATGAAGATCAATAGAACGCACATCATAGAGAAAGTCCGTTTTAAACATTATACATTATAAAGGAATCATCACAATCAGTAAAATCAAAGAAAAAAAATCATGAATTGGCCAAGTATGACATAACTACATATATATAATTTCATAACACAACTAGTAAATATGCAATGAATATGATTTTTTTTCTTTCATCTGCCTAACAAGTACAACCAGCAGAACTTGTAATTTTAAGACTACTATTAAATAATAAAGTCCATACTAATAGTAGATCAGGAAAATTATTACTAACAAGTGGGTCATTGATGCCATAATAAACATTTTTATTATTATTGAAATCATAATGAATGGTTTAAAAAAGATCCAATGGATGACGCTTGTTTAATATTGTATACTTTTTATCTATATACTTATATGCAATTCCAAATTATGAAATTAATATGTAATTTTTAGCGACGACACCCTATTACGTGATGAGGTTAGAAGAAACTGTCAGTATCACTAAATGTCACAGAGAGAGTGGTTTATTGGCCCTCGCAAATGAAGATTTTTCAATTACTCTAGTAGATATAGATACTACTACTGTTGTGAGGAAATTTGAAGGCCATACTAACATTATAAACGATATTGACTTCGATTCGCAGAGTCGGTAAGTCTTTATAAATATGTTTCCATGTAATTTTTTTTAGTAGTAATAACTTAATTTTGTTCTTTAGTTGAAATGAATCTGACGACTCAAAGGATGTTAACTGTTAATAATCGCGTATATACATGATCAGCATTACGGACTTTACGTTATCATATGTTGGCCATTATACCACTTATGCGTTGCATGAATTACAAAATGGGCTTGTTTTTTTTTTCTAAGACCGAACATCTAAGATCTAAGACATGCAGTCCGGAGGATAAAGATGTCATGCGTCTTATCGTGTAATTTCACTGCCTACCTTCATCAATAAATAGGCTTGTTTCTTTTATAGGAATAATCATATATTTTCATTATTCAGTAACAAGAAGATTGTATTTACAATAATGTTTTTAGCATTCTCATTTTTTGATAATATCATGTATTGGGAATTATTGATATAAAATATAGGCATTTTTATTATGTGGTAGTTTATATACGTCTTCGACTAGCAAACAAGATAGTAGTCTATCTGACGGCAGTACAATGGGCATCATAGAATATATTTCTGATATAATTATACCCTCTGAGAACCAAAATGTAGGGTAACAACCCAGTTCTCAAAAAGCCCTGAAAAAAATTTCAAATTTTGTACTATCTAACTTTGACTAGGTTTCTGACAATCCACATACATCGCTTGTAATTCAAACTAATCACAAAACACATGTAGCGTTTCAGCATTCGAGATACCAGATAATACCTTTTTGTCGTAATTGTATTACGGAAGGTGTAACAAAACACCTTTATAACTCATGACGTGGGGTACTATGTGCGTTCGTGCGTGCATCCCAATGTGTGCCCACGTGCGTAAATAAAATTTGATTTCGTTCCGAATATATGAAGTTAACATTGCTGCCCTTATTTCCTAGCAATTATTTTGTACAATATTATTAATTCTGTTCATTCATTTACCTAATATCTGTTTTGAATATTTTGTACCTTTAAAACGAACCGAATGTTTCGATTGGCTCTGCATAGTATTAGTACTATAAATAAATAACCCTGGACAATTAACACTGCGCCATCTAGTCCCATAGTAACCCGATTTTGTGTTACGGGTACTAGACAACTAATATATGTATATATATATTTAGTTATATTTTTATGTAAATACGTACTTAATATACATAGACAACACCCAGACTGAAACAAACAATTATACTCATGAATACAAATGTTTGCACCGTGCGAGGAATCCTTTGCGCCGGAAGTAAAGCGGTGTGCAAAACCGCTAGACCACCGTAGCCGTCAAATTATGATTTGTCTATTTTAATTATTTTAAGTTTAATTCAAACGGGGATCGAAATTATGACGGCCTGAGCCGAGGTTCGAACCCTTAATAGTACCCCTCAGGCTAAAGTCGTATCCGTCAGACGGGAGTTGGCCTTCAGCCGCTCCATAAGTCCTTCCGCGGCTTTGGAGTGCTATCTGCACTCGCCCCCTATCGTCCGCTGAAGCTGTAAAGGCCAGCTGTGGCCAGCAGCATTAGTGTAGTCCATAAAAAAAGGGCATCTCTGTCTCTGTACCTCATTTCTCCCACCAAGCGTACTTTTAGCTAAACTAGATTATTAGCTAAACTGTTTCCGTTTGAAGTGTGATCGGATCATATGGTAGTGAAATTTCAGACACGTTAGGTCTCAAAAATGGCATAGAATTATGTACCATGGTAGTGGTAATATATGTACGTACTCATGCACTCAGTCTGATTTAAACTATCCTTGGAGCTGTCTGCACCATTCCAGTTACATAAAAAATCTATCAATAACGTATTTTGTCAGTAAAATGTACCTAATTGATTTCATGTACTCTACAAAACAATCGTACAGTTATTAATGGTGTTGTTACGTTATAAAAAATATTAGTATATTTCAACATCCATGTACAAGCTCGCACCCGTCTCAAAGGAAGTGTTTCCTGTCTACCTGTCAATCGATTATAATGAATGAGTTCTTATTCGGCAGTAAAGTAGCCGCAATTCATGATTTATTCCTCGACCAGGTTTATTAATGACTAGTTGAGTCTGCGACATCGTACCCCTGGTATTAGAAATACCAATAGTTTATAACTTTTTTACTTTATAAACCCATGAAAATAAAACAAACACTAAATGTTATTGAAAGCTTGCTAGAATACATTGGTCAAAATCGCATTGAAATTGAATAAGCCATTATTGAGATTAGCAATAGTATGTAATCTTCTATCGACGGCCTAGCGGTTTAGCACACCGCCTTACCTCTGATGGTCGGGGGTTCGATTCCTCGTGCGGCACAAACATTTGCATTCATGATCACAATTGTTTGTATCGATCTGGTTGTTTTCTACGTATTATACGTATGTATTTACGAAAATAAATTATCTATGTATTTGTATCAGTTATCTCGTACCCATAACACAAGCTTTCACTAGCTTAATGTGGGTCTAGCTGGCGCTGGAGCTGTGAATTGTCCTGAGATTATTATTCCTTAAACAAAAATATTAGCGTGTGTTTTTTTGATCGCAGGTGGTTGATTAGTACATCTATGGACTGTACTGTTTGTACCTGGGACATACCGAGTGCGCAGCTTGTTGATATATTTTCGGTAAGATAACAATAAGGTATTAAACTGGGTACCCGCCTGGAGGGGTATCCAGGGAAAAGTTGCTGCCCCTCCTTGAATATTATATGCGTTACAGTATCTTTTGTTGTGTTTGTGTCGAAAGTGGTACGAACCTAAACAGCAAATTTGATCGTACACTGTTATAAATTATTCAATTAACTCAAGTATTTCAGTTTTACTTGTTATTTTCAGTTTGACAATAATAGCAGTAGAAACATTTGTCACATGGATAGTCCATGTGACAAATGTTTCTACTGCTGTTCTAGAAAGTATATAACCCCTTTTTTATTTGGGTATTTTATGTTTAATTCACATTTGTAGGTCGAACGCCCTTGCACCTCTTTAAGTATATCACCAACAGGGGACTTTCTGGCCACGACTCATGTTGGAGAATTAGGAGTATTTCTGTGGGCTAACAGACTTTTATATGAAAAAGTCTTCTTAAAACCCATCGATAGACTTTCTATCGATGTGCCAGTTCTACGTAAGTATTTAGTTATAGTTTCTTATTATAGTTTCTCAATTTCTATATCTATAGAGATTATTACCTTAGTGCTTTTATAGGTACCCGCGGTCATAAAATCCCAAAGTGCAGTTTAAATTGCCCAAAATCAACTTTTCGAATTTCGAATCAACCTTTATCGATTCAAATTTACGATAAACGCCATAGTGACTTTACTTAAAGTACTATTAGCAAATAAATATTATTATTTTATTACATGACCACTTCCTCAATCGTATTAAATAATGTATTCGTTTTTTTAGGTTTAACTTTACAATTATATGTCGTCAGGTTCTATAGGGGTACCATTAGTTGTAAATTAATTGCACAAGTTTTATCTCTTTTTAAATATATTTTATTCTATCTTAACTCTATTTTTCTTTGAGGTAAACAATATAGTTTTTACTTATTCACTAACATTTTAGGGTTACCAACTACAGCTCCAGAGAAACCTGATATAGATGACATAGGAGTATTAGATATCGGCGACGAACTAGAATACAAGTCTCCTGAACAAATTAGTGAAGAATTAATAACACTGTCAAATCAATCCACGTCTAAATGGCTAAACCTTCTACAACTCGACATCGTTAAAAAGAAAAACAAGCCCAAAACATCTTTAACTATACCCAAATCGGCTCCATTCTTTTTGCCTACGATACCTAGTCTACAACTGGAATTTGATTTAGATAAAGAAAGAAATAATAATAGTGATACAAAATTATTGATACCTGATGCCTTGTCTACCTTAACGGCATTTGGTAAGAAATTAGTAGGCTGCAATAGTGACGATGGTTATAGAGAATGCATAGACAAATTCAAAACTCTCGCTCCAGCTGCTATTGAAGTTGAAGTGACGAGTATGGCGCCGGACGCTGGGGGTTCCATAGAAGTGATGAATCAATTCCTTATTATGTTAAACACAATGTTGACTACTAACAGAGATTTTGAACTTGCACAAGCGTATCTGGGTTTATTTTTAAAGACACATACTAAAATTATATCTGAAAACGAAGACTTACGGAATACTTTGACGTCGGTGGAAGAAACTATCACGCAAGCGTGGCTTAAGTTAGAGAATCAATTGCTGTATAATATTTGTGTTGTTAAAACTTTGAAAGATATGTAATAAAAGATGTGTAATACTCTGACTTATTTTTAATATCCCTTTTAATTTTTATTTATTTTGTCTCTTGCTTATAGTTTAATAAAGTTATTTGTGTCTACAATAAATATTTTCAATAAGTAAATAAATAATAATATAAAAATTAAAATCATAAATAATGATATATGTAAAAATAAAAAAGTATTACTTAACTTATATGAAAGTAAAGAGTTAAGGTTTAAAAGTCGTCTAAATCGATTCATAATGTATTCGATTCATATTGTAGTGTAATTCATAAAAAAAAGTACAATCGTATTAAAAAAATCTCTTTGATGGCGGGTTGATAAAAATCAGTAATATATAATATATAAACGAGATAATATTAAGTATTAAAAACTCCTGATATTTTAATGCTGTACAAACGCACTGATCACAAATCGACTGAAAATGTTTGTAATTGTAAACAATCGTTATAAAAGTTAAAAAAGTAAATTAGGCAAACTTTTAACGGATGTTTGTGTGTGTAGGCCTATTGATCGCGCTTTCTATATAGTTGTTGAATTTCTATGCAGACCTTTTTATGCAGGCTCACATATTTATGCAGGTTTCTTTATAAACGGAGCACCTGTCATGTTCTACTTCTTAATGTAATCAGGGGTGAAAAACATTTTTCGGCTTAAATTATACCTTAGTATCTTATAAAGAAAAAACCCAAACGTTATTGTAGCAGCACTCTTCACAATAGACCGTAATAGATGATTCCTTCTTATTGTGAACATTGAAGAAGTGGGTTTTTATAAAAGTCGATACGAATAATCTTGTCTGTCGTATTTTTATATAATAATATTTTTCGTGATGTGTAGAAATATTTACGGATTTCTATAATATATATACCTATATTCTGTACCTTCAAACTACTTTTTCTAAATTTTGTATCTACACATGGACTGAAATCGTAGGACACAGGACAATAGCTATAACAATCATTTAGTTGTTAAGTTATCGTATATGTACTTATTTTTTATGTTAAGAACGGTGTCTACCATTGTTTCATATCAAAAATAATAATTTATCTAATACCTACTGGTAATGTTCTATACCACTTTAAAACTATACGTAATGAAATTATTCATCTAAGAAATTATTTAGACAAAGTATAAGCTGAGAGCCCTTTAAAAATTCATATTTATTCAAGTCGCTGCAATTTTTCTTATTCATTGGCTTCCGCCTGTTTGCGGATGATCCGCGAGAGGGTCTTTGCGGCGTTTATTGAATACTTTTCCAAGGGAATTAAATCGCGACCGATCGGTTCGCCAGAGCTCCGTTCATTAATGGCTCGCTTCATTTTCGCAATAAGTATTCATTTCTCCCTCTTTCGCAGTCGACCTCGGTAGCTCCAATGAAAATCTGATTGTGCTTCCTTTGCATTATGAATATCTATCGAATTCCACCTTATCTTTAGCGATCCTTTATTGAGCTTAGATCGAGTGTTAAGCAAATAACGTAAAAGCGAAGACGTTTTATTAATATGTATCATTTTTCCTGAACTCAGCAAGTTTGATTCATATGCAATATAAAGATGTAGGTAGGTAACAAAAGCATTGGAAAAGTCATTTCAATATGTAAGCGCTTTCAATTGGTAACGCTTTAGAAAATGTTAATTTCCGGGACGCTCACAGCATTGTAGTTATAATATGTACTCGTATAACTTATGTCATATGGCAGTTGCCACGTGTGTATGTGTATCTTTTTGAACTTGTTTAAGAAGGTATGACTGATAATTTTTATTTCATTATTGAATATACCTACCAGTATTTTACGATGTCCTGCTGCTGTCCTGCTTCATATTTTATATCATATATAGAACAAAAAGTAATGTTACCAACGCTGTTATTATTTATTTATTATTACATTATGTAGGGGAGATGGAGGTAAGATGGGGTAGTGGGTAAGACGGGGTACCCACCAAAATTTACAGTTCAAATTGATCAATCACGCTCTTTCAATCATCGTGCGACGCGCCACCATGAGACTTATCAGTCGCCGTGTGTTTAGTGGTTCACAAGTGCACAGTGTCGAAAATATGCAAAATAAGTGTTTTATTGCAATTTGCTTATCACATTTTCTTCTGGCTTAACACGTGACTGTGGTTTGTTAAATAACGTTAGCTGGTGAGGTGTTGTTGTGATTGATGCCTAAACTAATCTATAAAAAAGTAGTCATTGTGTTCTTTAAATATTATTGACTGTTTTGTTTTTATTTTTTTTTTTTTATATAAAAGGGCTCTGCAGGCAAGATGGGGTAACTGATGAGAATAATTCGGTTCTAGTTTGTTTTCCAAAAAATGAGTTCGTTTTTGTGAGTTTGTCTTTTTAGAATGATTCTACGATTAACGTCGTCGGTCGTGATCCGAAGAATCCATGCGGGAAGCGAAGAGTTCAAGCGGTTTTGGATGAAAAAATGGTTTATAGAGAGAAAAGTTAAGGCTTCCTAAGGAAATTCTCTCGTTTGCTAAAAAGCGTGGACACACAGCAATTATCACGTCGCCTCCTACAAAAAAGAATTAGAAGTCATCGCCCACAAAAAAAACAGAGCCGAACAGAAAAACTATAGAAAATAGAAACTAAAAAGAGAAAAGATGAATATAAAAAAAAACAGAAGAAAACTCCTACAAAAGACCAAAATAAAAAATTAAAGAAGAATAGCCGATCACCGAAAACAGCAAAACAATGAAGAGTTTCAACATCTGAAGATGAAAGTGAAGCACCATGTATGTATTGTGATGAAGTTTGTTCCGTTTCCATTGAAGGGTGGATATCATGCTCATTAAGTGGAAGATGGACTCATAATAGCTGCGTAGAAATAAGATGATGATGATGATGATGAAGTCATCCATGTCTACGTGTTCTGCCAGCTCGAATAATCATTGTTCTACAGAGATCATAGGATCATTCTCATCACCCCATCTTACCTCAGGGGGGTACCCCATCTTACCAGCACCATGGGGCAAGACGGGGCAAAACACCTTTTTTTTATTTTATTTTTTTTTCTCTCAAATGTGTTACCTAAAGTTCCTAATGACACCAAATATAAGAATAATAATAATTAGTTGTTATTTAAAAAATAAATATGATTGTTTCACTATGTAATTTTTTATATTACAGACCTTTAAAGCTTAAGTACCCCATCTTGCCACCACCTCCCCTAGATGTATTGAAATTGAGCGGTGTACTAATATTTGTTTACATTTTATGGTATCTATATACATTACATTACAGGTAAATAATGAATACGCATATGTAACTTGGAATAAAAAAGAACTGATAAGTAGAGATACATGGAAATGTACTATGAATGAATTTAATTCTGTGATTTATAAATTGAAATTTCTTAAAGGTGTTTAGATGTGTGTTATTCAATCACGTTTCAAGGACTGGATAGAGTTGACTGAAATTTAGTATCTACATATACAAGTGCGGTGTATATAGATTCTAATAGTTCTAGTTCTCAGATTTGTTAAATTAGAATTTTACATGTGTGAGAACGAGAAGTATTACAAAAAAGTTAAATGTTCACAATTCATTTTGAAACATAGATGTAAAGGACGTTTCTATCTAAGTGTGAACAATTTACGCAAATTGCGTAGTGGGAAGGATTTATGTGTTTCACTTCGTATGAGAATATTATCCAAAGTACCTATATATTAAGTAATTTAATTTTAGAACAATTGTGAAACTGTCTAATTAATCAAGTCCTAGAGGACGAACGAAGTCAGAGCAAGCGAAGCAAGCCAATCAAACAATGATGCTTTTCATTAACAAGTCTTAAAATGTGTAGGTAGGTACTTACTAAATGATGTTCTCTTACTTGTGGTTTTTACTAATATATATAATGAATAATTATCCAACAAGATGCGTGACGTTCGCATGTTCAGATCGGCAGTAAGTACCAACTAAAACGAGTATCCAAATCAGCATTATAAACTTCGTATCGGGTTTAGTTGGCAGGAAGTGCGACACGAGTAATGAAGGTGAGTGTTGATATACATTGGAAAATTTAGAAAGAGGCTCCTTAAACCTACACCCGTGTCACAGGTCTCGGGATCTTCCAGAAGTTTCCCTACAACACGATGAACTCGGCACCCGGATTGTGAATCCATGCTGGAATGCTAAGAAGTTCGTACCTCACTCTATACTATTTTTATATGCCAAATTGTTTTTTTTTTTCAATTAGCGCTATAAGATCTCAATAGGGTGCATCCTCTTTTAATGCTACCAGAGATAACTATAACTATAAAGATATGGCGGCCATTAAATAAAATCTTAGGTAGGTACGTACCTATTATCTGATATTTTAAAACAAAAAACGAACTCGACATTAATGCTGATAAATTATTTGGTGTGAATATCGAACAGGGAAATGAAGAGTGTCGTCCATTTTCTATTACCGATGCTTTATTCCAGGCCATTTAACTTTTTCACTGTAAAGCTGAATCTTCGCAAAGTGGCGGGGGTGGGTTGGGAGACATTCTGCGGTCGGCTGTCCACTAGGGAATATAAGTTCAATATTAAACGGACGGTCCCATTTCAATACTTACCTGTTAGTATTTATTCCTTACCTGTGCCTTTATTACCTTATTATCGTTATTGTGACGATTTAGGCGGTGCAGCAGTTTAGAGCCTAGCATTGTGGGATTAAAGATTATGTACGTACTAGCCGATATAATACTACTACTACTACTCCATTTTACCGACTTCAAAAAAAGGATGAGGTTCTCAATTTAATTGTTATTTTTGTGTGTTATTTAGAATATTTTTGCTGGTACATCTTCAGATCCCTCACATAATTTGAGATAACAGATGGCCTATGTCTGGCCTCATATTAATATCTACAATATATAATATCTTTCATTAAGATCTGTTTAATCGTTATGAATATATAAAAAACAGACAGACACACTTTTGGCTTTTAAAAGAGTAAAAGTTTACATTTCCAAAAAACGGAAGTATAAAAGAAATTAATTATTTATGGTTTAATAAAA